CATGGTATTGGCACCAAAACAGACTGGTAGACTAATGGTACAGAATAGAGGATGCAGAGACTAACCCACAAAATTACAATTCTCTTATATTAGACAAAGGTGGCAAAAACATGCATTGGAGAAAAGATAGCCTCTTCAACAAATGGTGCTGGGAAAACTGGAAATCCATATGTAACAAAATGAAATTAAACCCCTATCTCTCACCATGCACAAAACTCAATTCAAAGTAGATCAAGGACCTAGGAATCAAACCAGAGACTCTGTGTCTAATAGAAGAAAAAGTAGGCCCTGATCTTCATCATGTCAGAGTAGGCCCCAATTTCCTTAATAAGACTCCTATAGCACAAGTATTAAAAGCAAGAATTAATAAATGGGAAGGATTCAAACTAAAAAGTTTCTTCTCAGCAAAAGATACTGTGAAGTAAATAGAGAGCTTACATCTTGGGAGAAAAGTTTTATCCCTCACACATCAGATACAGCCCTAATCTCTAGAGTATATAAAGAACTCAAAAAGCCGGGGATTGCTCCCTGCAGGACCCATAACTATCTCTGCAAGGAACAGCCCCAAGCCTGAGCATTTTAGGATATTCAATGACAAAAACTACATCAGGGTTGATGTAGCTGTAAGCAAACAGGTACAGAAGCTGAATTGGGCAGTTAGTGAGACAATGCAATGGGTACACTGTTATTTCCCACAGGATTTTCCAGGTTGGCACAATACAAAACAAGGGGCTGGGGATGTGGCTCAAGCAGTAGCGCGCTCGCCTGGCATGTGTGCGGCCCAGGTTCGATCCTCCAGCACCACATAAAACAAAGATGTTGTGACCGCCAATAACTAAAAAATAAATAAATATTTAAAAAAAAAAGAAAACAAGCAGAAGGGAAATGGGTCAAAATGACCATAGTTGAGTACAAGTTAGAGAATGGTTACTAACATCTAGACAATCAATCTCTGACAAGGTATATCACCCATGAAAAATGGAAACCAAATAGAACAATTTTACATTTTATAAGAATTGCTGTTTTGTGTTGCCAAGTAACTATTAATGGGTATAGAGGTGGGGCTTTCCCATGGGAGAAGCATTTCTTACATAATATGGAGTCTCATGGTAAAATGAATTCTGTTTGGTCATTGCCCATATAATCTGGCCCATAACAATCTTTCCCTTGTTTTTCTGTATGGATAAACATTATCCTTGATGTTTATCAGTTTTACCTGGAAAAATGAAAGTGTGTGTGTGTGTGTGTGTGTGTGTGTGTGTGTGTATACACACACACATATGTATGTATGTCAGTGCTTGCCAATTTTTCCTGTGATGGTATCACCAGTCTCACTTCCCATCACCTTCTTTCTTGCCTAGGGTACACCTGAGTCGCAAACTGTTTTTCCTTCTGCGAACTCATAATGTTGCTTTATATACATGGCACAGGTAAGTGAAATGACCTCATTTCTCATCCTGACAAGGTCATTTTCTTGTACAATTCTAGTAGATTTGGCACAAACATCTTGGTGAGACTTAGCACAGTCGTGGTGCAGCAGAGCAGGCGCTGTACTCCCTCAGACACTTGCTTAACCCAGCAGAGTTCAGGTTCACCTTTCGGTTTCGCTTTGACATCTTAATACCACTATTCAGTTTATGATCAGTGTTTCTTACAAATTTAGAGTATTACCTTATCAGAGCATTCGAACCGTATCAGATTGGTAGTTACTGCTCATTAGTCTCTCAGTAATTTATCCTCATGTTATCCATTCCCAACTTCATTCCCACAAGGACTCTGCTTTAAATTGTTCACAGTTAGGTGACGTAAGTGTCCCTCCCCTTGCAGCTTACAGTCCTGGACGGAAAGTCTTAAATATTAATGATAACTCCGTATACCAAGTATAATACTAGGCACAGATGTTACATATCCTGGGACTGCTCCGGGTCACCTGAGCAGCTAATGAGCAGTAACTACCAATCTGATATGGTTCGAAGGCTCTGATAAGGTAATGCTCTGAGTTTGTAAGAAACACTGATCATAAACTGAATAGCGGATGAAGATGTCAAAGCGAAACCTGAACTCTGCTCGGCTATGGCAAGTGTCCGGGCGAGTACAGCGTCCGCTCTGCTGCTCCACGACCTCTCTCCGGAGAAAAGGTCACGTAGGGCCACCTCTTTCACCACATCCACACTTAGTCTTCGCGGGAGGAAACTAAAGCTTTTGCGGAGCAGTCCGCGGTAGGAACAGGGGTCCCGGGCTGCGGAACAAAGGGGCGGAGCTAGTCGTGCGCATGCTCTTTGCGGGACGCCATCCGGTTGCGCCTGCGCCGTGAGTCGGTCCAGCTCCGCCTTAGCGGGTCTAGTTTGAGCAAGGTGTCCTTGCCGGGATGGTGCCGCGATGCCAGGTAAGCGGGGAGAGTGGGCGAAGGAACTTGCCAGGGTGCCTGGCTCTCCTGGACCTGTCTGCCCCTCCTCTCCCGCCACAGACCCAGCCTGGATCAGGATGACCTTTTTCCATTCCTCGCTCCTCACGGTCGCCCATCCTGGCCTACGCTTTGGGTCCAGGGCCGCTACCGCCAAGGTGGTCTCTTTCTTTGAGGGCTTTGCTCCTGCCACCCCAACAAAAGTCAAGTCCACTTCACGAACTGTTGGTAAACAAATCAGGGCGTTCAGAACCCGTTCGCTTCTGAAGGCGCGTGAACTTTTTTTTTACAGCTCTCTTTCTCAGAGTATTAGTTTGACCAAGATACATCTTTAAGTTTTAAAAATGCACTTAATTAAGAATTCTTGGGAAGAATTGCGACTCACCGATGGATTTACGATCCCTAGATAGTTGGCAAAACCTGTCAATATTTCATAGAGAATAATCAGTGCTGAGTGACAGGTGGCTATACTTGGCCAGATCCCCTAGTACCGGGCCTATTGCACAGGTTTCTCTTAGGAAATACCAGTTTATCTGGTATTTCAGACCTGCTTGCTTTATATAAATGTCAGGATTTGTATGTTGCATAACTTGATCTTCCGTGTCGGCTGGATCAATGTAATGTAGAATGGAATCAAAGGTCATTTGGCAACCTTGAAAACAAGCCATTCAGTTGTTGATTCAGTCATTTGTATAATTCATCTCTTGACTCAGACATTTGTTCAGTTTGAAAAAAAAATGATATTCTTTTATGTCAACTGAATATGGGCTTAATGGAAATCAAAACCAAAAACCATCCATTACTGAGTTGTGTTTAAAACATAAAAATTTTCCAAAATTTGAGCTTTTAGAGATGCTGCTTTTTATGGGTTTTCAAATTTTATCTAACATAAAAATTATTTTTTTAAAATAATACATTTGGAAAAGGAGAAAACATCAGTATGAACAGTCAGAAAAGGACTATGAGTTATTTTTTTTTAAAGAGAGAGTGAGAGAGGAGAGAGAGAGAGAGAGAGAATTTTTAATATTTATTTTTTAGTTCTCGGCGGACACAACATCTTTGTTGGTATGTGGTGCTGAGAATTGAACCCGGGTCACATGCATGCCAGGCGAGCATGCTACCGCTTGAGCCACATCCCCAGCCCAGGACTATGAGTTATTATTAAAATCATTTTCTTTCTTTTCAGGTTGAAATATTATATTTTGCAAAAAGTGCTGAAATAACAGGAGTTCGTTCAGAGACCATTTCTGTGCCACAAGAAATAAAAGCATTGCAACTGTGGAATGAAATAGAAACTCGGCATCCTGGGTAATTAAAAATTTGTAGAATGCATGTGATTAATACTTTTTAATATTGTAAAATGTAAATATTTCATAGAAGTATTATGTAAATAAAATATAAATGATAAAAGTAAAAATGGTTTATTTTGATTTCCATGTGCAATATCAAAAGGGATTCTTTTCTGGATCTACTCCTGAAAACTTAAACTCTAGTATTTAGAAATTCACCATTTGTTAAGGAAAGTTAAAGATAATTTACTAAAAAGTTACAGTAAACTGGGATACTTCCAGACAGATACAGTTATATAATCTATCATTATTTTCATAATCTACAATTGTAATAATAAAAAATTTAGTAATCTACAATTTTATTGCAATTATAGATTCACTAAATGAAAATTTTATTATTTAAAAACATGCTGTAATCTTTTTTGTCCTTTTCTCTTTTTAGAATACTCCAAATAGAAATTTCTAAGATTAAAAGAAAAATGAGTTACCACAAACTCTAAATGCTACTGGAATTGAGTTTTGCAATATTTGATTTGTTTTCCCAGATTCTTGAAAACCAGTAATTTTATTGCTGTCATTCTCACCTCAAATCACTTTTGGAACAAAAAAAAATGAAAGTGACTTATTTGAGGATGTTCTGGAAATAGTGGTAGTGCCACTGAAGTCTATATAGACTTGGAAGTCCTAGGGCTATGTTAAAAAAAGACTTCAGAGGTCTGTGGGTGTAGCTCATCAAGCTTGATGAGGCTCTGGGTCTGATCGCCAGTAACATAAACAGTATACACAAAGTCTGGACATTGTGTGTTCAAAAGGAAACCTCCCTTTCTTGATTTCCTAAATTGCCCTTCATTCAGTGAAATCAGTAAGTAGCCTCTGTACTATTTTACCTTTAACCTGCTTGTGGGCAGAAACTTGATCTTATAGGAAACTTTCTAGTTCTACTTAGTATACTTAGACCAAAGACCAATGGAAAGCCCATGTTCTGATTAGAAAATTTTTGGTTTGAATGTTGCCACTAGTGTAGTTTTTGTTTGTTTACAGCATTTGTTAAAGAGTTGTTAGCATTTTAATGTGTTCTTTGCAACAAATAAGTGTGTTCTTCAGTGGTTAGATCCTTTCTCCAAAGAGTATGACTTAATTAGTAACTTTGCAGGTGATGTTTCATATAGTAATATTTATGCAATGTCTTTAATAATACAGCTGAAGAGATTTGATGCCTATCACACCTTGATATTTCTCACCAGACTTTTTCTCCTCCAGATTGGCTGATGTTAGAAATCAAGTGATATTTGCAGTTCGTCAAGAATATGTAGAGCTGGGAGACCAGCTCCTCCTCCTTCACTCAGGAGACGAAATTGCCATTATCCCCCCCATTAGTGGAGGGTAGTGCTTTTGAACTATCTAGGTACGTGAGATTTGTTTTTCTTAATCAGTCTTCTGGGGAAGGGTCAAACAGATGATAACTTGTATGTAGTTTGTTGTTACAGTATATTCTTCGTAATTGCACCAGTTCGTTTTTTTTTCCCCTGTATTGGGGATTGAACCCAAGGACACTCAACCACTGAGCCATGTCTTCAGCCCTTTTTATTTTTTTTTAATTTGAGACAGGGTTACCCTAAATTGCTTCGGGACTTGCTAAGTTGCTGAGGCTGGCTTTGAACTTGTGATCCTCCTGCCTTAGACTTCCAAGCTGCTGGGATTACTGGCATGCGCCATCATGCCTGGCTTGTACCAATTCTTTATTGATACTGTTGCTCTTTCTTGATATAATTTTAAATACCTCCCTACCATCCTTGCATCAGCTCTATTTTAAGCAGTTTACATGTGATCATTATATTCATTTAACATATTTTATTGAGATATTTTGTGTGTTGGGCACAGTGCTAGACTGAAGTATTGATATACATATTTTACTGGTGGAAAAACTGAAATTTAGTTTTTAGTTACAAAAAAATTGCCTTTGGTCACATATCTAATAAGTGGCAGAGCCAAATTGGAATTCATATTATTGAATTCTATACTTTTTTTTTTAACAAATGTACTTAATAATACTAGATAATAGCTTTTGTGGGGAATAGCTTTTGTGGGGTGCAAAGAAATGTAGAAAAATTACACAGCTAGAAGATCAAAAGATCACTGTGCCTGAAAAGAAAACTTACCATTGTGGAAGTATAAAGGAATAGTTCTGTTGTTATAGCTGTGTTATAGGTGTATCCATGACATCTGCTAAATCTTAGTCTTTCTAAATAACTTAATCTATATTGGAGTAGGTCGAAGTGTAAGAACATTCTTCAATATAGTGTGAGATATCATGCTTTTCTTACGTATAAAGAGACAGAATGAAGTTTACTTTATTGCCAACTGAATAATAAATGAGGTAGAAATCAATCATTCCTGATTAAAAACTCTTTGGAAAGAAAAAAAGATGTAATTTTGATAGGGATTTTATCCAAAATCAATAGTAAACATCATACTCAATGGCAAACCTTGGTTCCATTAGAGAAAGGAGCAAGCCAAGAACCCCTATTTAATTTTTTGTCCACTTTTCCCAACTTTCTCAGAAGGCAGTGCCACAAAAAAAATGCAGAATTAGTCTGTACAGTGGATTGCCCAGCATGGCTATATTTAGGGACCTTTCTCATACCTATCATCTGGAAATTCTTTGTTAGATATGCATCTCAGTTTTATATGCACACTGTAATTACCTTATCACCATTGTGATTTCAGAAGATTCTAAAATGCTGGTTTTCAGATCTTGGAATTTATTCAGAAGACAATAGACTGCCATGAAAGGTGTGTGTGTGTGTATGTGTGTAATGACTGTAGCTGTTCTTTGGACAGATTAGAAAGATTACTCAACAGCATTGCATATTATGTGGATACTTTTGTCAGGATTTATGTTATGAAATTGTAGAATCTGCTAGTTAGGTTTTAGTAGTCTTGTACAGTAAAAAGTTTTGAGAGTGTACTATGATTTGGAGCACAGATACCCCATTTTGGCTACCTGTTTAAAAGCAAGAAGAACAGGTTTAAGAAGCTTCTGTGGCACGTACAGCATTTGAAATGCCCTGGAAACTAGTGGCATATATAAGTAATTGCACTTTTCAGAAGTTAGAAGGAGATAAGGTAATATAAATTAGATTTACTAAGAGTTCTTTGTTAGAATTTCAGCACCTTGAAGAGTCCATAATTTCTCTAAGCCTCCTTTTAATTTTCAATTAAGGTGAAATCTCCAGGATTTGTAATCATACTTCTTAGGGTCTGCAAGGTCTTACCTCCCTGTCCGGCCTCAGGTCTTCCTCTCTTCTTTGCTCACTGTGCTTAGGTCTCCTGGAGGTTCTGAATGTGTCAAACTCTTTCTTGTTCCAGAACCTTCACATTTGCTAGTCCCGTCTCTTTATTTGGGGATCTATCCCATTTCATCACATGGCTGCCTTCTTGTCTTTTAGGTCTCTTTTTGAAATCTTCCCTCTTGAGGGAGACCTTTGGGATCCCTTTTCTCTAATAGCCCCCACACTTTGTCTCAGAACCTGTTTATTTCCGTAAGTTATCCCCATTTATGATTCTTCTTTATTGCTTTGTTTCTTTCCTTGGAATACAACACCCTGATGACAGAAGCCTATGATTTTTTTTTGTGGGGGGGGCGGTACTGGGGATTAAACTCAGGGGCATTCAAGTACTGAGCCACATCTCCAGCCCTATTTTGTATTTTATTTAGAGACTGGTTAGAGACGGGGTCTCATTGAGTTGCTTAACATCTTGCCAGTTGCTGAGGCTGGCTTTGAACTTGTGATCCTCCTGCCTGAGCCTCCTGAGTTACTGGGATTACAGGCATGCGCTAGCACACCCAGCTGGGCCTGTGATCCCCCAACCCCTGGGTCTGTAATTAATGTCACAGTCTCTGACACTTAGTGAGTATGTAATACTGTTTGATGAATTAAATGCAAAATACATGCAAAAGCCTTTGTACAACACCTGGGTAAAAGGTGTACAGTTTATTCTTTATTTCTTCTATTACTTGATTGAGGTCATACCTCGGTGTGAAAGCAACTTAGTTCCTGTGGAAGTCGGAAAAGGCACTCTGGGTGTGGTGCTTGGTTACATAGTGATTAGAGGTGAATTGAATGAAGGCAAAGGTGGTAATATTTCAACTATACCATGATGGGAGATACAGGTAGCAATTGCAGAGTTGCAATAAATTGACAGAAGAGCTGTGTTACATTACAGTGACCATGCTAATATTGAATTACTTTTTACACATGCCTGATTCATTAGGGCTATTTATGAATATAGCAGTTATACTAAAATTTTACATTTGCTTGTTTTTATCACCCAGATCAATCATGTCTCCTAACACATCTGATGTAGAGAAAATATAAACAGTTCATAAGTTGAGGGGTTTGCTTCTAGTATTTGTACTAAAGTTTATTAATATCTTATTTCCAGAAAAGATATGGACAAAGTTGAAGAGACATCTAAAGATATAATAAAATTTACTGCTGAGAAACTTTCTGTGGATGATGTCTCCCAGTTAGTGACATCTCCTCTCTGTGGGGCAATATCCCTGTTTGTAGGTGAGTTGTATTTTAACAGTGTCTATTGTCTGCACGTGGCAGTAGAAATCAGTTAGGGCTGTCCCTCTTCAGCATTAATAGTCAGAGGACTTTGAGCGATAAACCATGATTACCCATGAAAGTGGGTAGAAATTGTTTTAGTGTTCATTTTGTTTATTTTAGTAACCTTCAGATTAACCTATATCAAATTACCAGGCATTAAAAGGGTATGATAGAAGTCATTGCTAGGAGAGAAAGTTGTATATTTTCCAAATGTTGAGTAAAACATGTACTTGATTATAATTCTAAAAACAAAAATATTTTTCTTTTTAAATGTCAAATGCTATTACTCAGAAAAGTAATATAGCCTGTTTTGTCATGCAAATGTTTTCAGTAAGCTTGCTTAATCAGTGTTCTCTTATTTTCTTAACATTTTTGGGATAATTATCTGTGATTTTCCTAATCAAGTTTTGTTCTTAGGAAATTTCAAAGCAATTTTCAGACAAAAATTTATGCTCTTTATTTACAATTTAAATATAATCCTTTTAACTCAACCATAATCCTTTTAAATTCTGTTAATGTGTTATTTCTGTTGTCGGGGGATAGCCTAATTGTTTCTTCTTCTTCTTTTTTTTTTTCAGGGACTACAAGAAATAACTTTGAAGGAAAAAAAGTCATTAGCTTAGAATATGAAGCATATCTACCAATGGCAGAAAATGAAATCAGAAAAATTTGTAGTGACATTAGGCAAAAATGGCCAGTCAAGCACATAGCAGTGTTCCATAGACTTGGGTATGATTTTCTTTACCAGTCTTGAAGTTGAGCATGATTGTTTTCCATATTTGTATGAATGAATGCTGTTTCTGTAAACTTAGGAATCCTATGTTACCGTAAGAGGAAGGTTTGAATATTTTTCTGGAGGACAATGAAGATAGTTCCCAGTACCTTAAAGGCTACTTGTTGGGTTGTAATTTTGGAGAGCCCTTACTGTCTCTTTTGCTGTAACAAAGTGCAAATGTGCCAAGATTTTCAGACCCTGGGGCTAAGGGCCTATGTTAAAGTCCTTGAGGTCTTTGAGAATTGTCTTATGGTCTGTACTCTGTTTATATAAGAATCTGTTATAGATCTGAATCATTGAAGTAATTTGCCTTTTTGTAAAACTAAAAAGATTAGAGTGCAAAACTTTAAAAAGAATCAGCAGTTAAGCTTATATCTGTCATGTTAGTTGTTATTTTGTTGTTAATTATACTTTTGTTAATAACCAGTATTTTTATTAATAACAAGTATGATCAGTCCTATTCCTTAATATCATTTGCTATTTATTATTTAAATTCTATGTTATTCTTATCATGTGGCAACTTTGTAGCTTTAGGAGTTACCTGGCAGTGTGCTTTGCAAGAGTCAGATATTTATTGGGTCAACAAAAGGACTCTTTTTTTCCTTAGTCCCTAACCAAGGGGATTTGTGGATAGTTGCTAACAAATTGGCCACAAGATCAGCCTCAGCATCCCCTCTGCTGAATGCAACTGGAATGAATTACTGTTTTCTAATTAAATTGGATGTTTGAAATAGAACTACCATATGTTCTAATGTATAACTGGATTTTTTCCTACATGTATATTAGGAGGTGATGGTAATTTTTTTTCATCATCTTTTTCAAGTTTGGTTCCAGTGTCTGAAGCAAGCATAATTATTGCTGTGTCCTCAGCCCACAGGGCTGCATCCCTTGAAGCTGTCACCTATGCCATTGACACTTTAAAAGCCAGGGTGCCCATATGGAAAAAGGTAGGTTAAGAAGTTGCCTCATTTTGCCATGTGGATATTATTTTTCTTAGGAATTCTTTGATAAAGCATGGGGAATAGGAGAACATACACAATTTGTACTTATGCACTTTTCTTAATAATTGAATCTTGTTTTCTTTATATGTAAAACAGCACATTTATATAATATCTCCCTTCCAAGTTTGTTAAGCTTGACAAACACAGGCCCCAAAGAATGCATGGCACAAAGCAGGCCCAGCAAGCAGAAGTAGTTAGAATTTGTAGACGGCAGTGTTCTCTGGGATTCATGGGTGAAGTATTCCCTTGGGAGAATCTCCTTCAATTAGAGGATCTTTCTTTTGCAGAGTTGTACATGGTCTCTGACTACTTAGGCAATGGCTAAAATAGAAATTCCTCAGGGCAAAAGAGCTTTTTTCTAAAGCTTCTTTATATGAAAGAAATAAATAAAAGGGTTAGATATTGCTGTCTTTGAGAAATGCATAGTGAATGAATTTAAAAGCATAAATAGAAAATCATAGCTTATTTTTTGTCAATAAGTCAAGCACAAGCATTTCTCTTTTTAAATAGAGCATTCTAAACTCCTCTAATTTCTCCCCTCGTTTTGGAGCATTAACAGTGGCATTGTTCTGTACTTATAAACACGTGTAATTATACTTCTAACCACAGAGTTGCCCATAGTAGTATGGCTATTGGCAAAGCTGAGGAATTAATGAGCAGCTCAGGGGATCAGAAGAGCAAAGGAGAGGAGAGGGCCAAGGCTTTAAAGGGTGAATCTTCTGTCCTTTCAGGAGCCTCTGGCCTCAGTCAGTAGGAAAGATGAGCAAGTAGGACTCTGAACCAGGGCCTAAGGAGTTTCATATCCTAATTTTCTGAATAAAATCTGAAATATATTATTAGGTTTCAGATTTTAGGAAATAATTGGGGATTAGAGGATAGAATATATGAAAGGAAGCTTAGTAAAGCCCAGACGTATTGTTGCTTTGCTATGAACAAGGTAGTCATAGGCTTTTTACAGAGCCTAAGGCAGGCCCTGGAAGAAGGAGAGGTAGGAAAGGCATTTCAAAATGAGCTTCCAGCCTAGGCAGCAGGGATGGCTTTCTTTACCAAGGATAAAGGAGTTCACAGTGAGCCAACAGAAAGTAGAAGAGAGGGTAGCCCCATGAAGTAAGGGCAAAGGGCAGGAGTTGAGACATACTGTCATTTTTAGGCTTTAAGAACCAGCTGGGTTTTCTATTTGCTTTTCTCTCTCTGTAGAGGGTTGGGGGAATTGCGTGTATTCAGTGATTATGTCCATGAGAGTTAAGAGCTTACAGGGAATGATAAGCTCACCAAATGGAACCAACAGGATACCAGTGCCCAATCCTCATTAGATGGAGCTGAGAGGCCATTCAGACCAAGAATTCAAAATGGCTATTTTGAGGAAACTCAGTTCCAAAAGAATTCAGAAAAGCAATTCAGAAATTTATCAGAAAATTTAACAAAGAAATTGAAATAATGAAAACAATTTTGAAAAAAGAGAGAGATCCTGGAGCTGAAAACTACAGTGAATGAACTTAAAGTCAATTGACTTTGGAATCTCCTCCATAAGGGTTCTGACAAGGATGGGAAAAGAAAGCAGTGTGTTCTCTCCCCTCCTTCTACAGGGATCTAAATCTAGTCTCAGTCTAGCCTCTAGGCTTGGAGATCATCTGAGATATAAGAAAGTAGCTGGCAGGTAGGCTCATACTGTACTGAGCCTTTCACACCAAGAGTGCATTAGCTGGTTTCACAACTAATGGAATATCCCATTTCCCTTTGGAAAAGTGTACTGCTTAGCAATGTAAGGTAGTAGGTGTGTTGGAAATAAAAAATGTTTAAAACTAACAACTTTCCATCTTCCCTTGCATAAACTGATGTCTCTTGTCATGGCCTGAGTGGAATTAATTACTTATTTCCTCCTGTAGTTGTACTTTGTCTTGATAGAGCTTCTGGGCTCTCATTCCCCCAATTAGGGTTGGGAGTCCTTAAGTGTAGGGAACATGTATATTCACTTTTCTGTTCTCAGTGCCTTATGTAAAAATGTTGATTGGATTATTTAAAGTGGAGCAGGTTGAAATAGATATGTTATTCATTTGTCTAATTTATTCAAATATATTTTTATTTATTAAAATGATCTATTTTGAGTACCTATTTTGGTTCTGTTTTTTAGGAACTATATGAAGAATCATCATCATCTTGGAAAAGAAACAAAGAATGCTTTTGGGCAACCAACAGTTAATCACTTATGTTTTTTCGAGCACTACATCTTAAATTTAGTAAAGTTCTATTGTTGATCACATTTTGATCTTTCTTCTCCACAGTTTACTGAAGTTTACTGAAGCACAGGTTATACCTGTGGGACAAATGACAAAAAAGAAAGCAAAATATGTGGGTATGTAGTATGAGGGATTACTTGGGGCTAGCAATAGGGAAGAACCGTGATAATTGAGAGATGTCTGTGGAGATATATCATATCCCTTTATGACTAATTTTCAATTGAAACTCAAATCTCATTGAAGTATGGCCCCCTCCTCACTACTTCCATGCCATTGCATTGATGGTGTTAATATCAGGGTGTATTTTGGAAATATTGGTCGAACTGGAAAGTCATTGTCAGTTTTGATATTGTATGTTATATATTTTCAGAACATACATATTTTAAAAAAATAAACCTAAATAAACCCATGATTTTCAAAAGTAAAAAAATAGTACTTTTTTGTTTTTAAAAATTAAATAATACCTAAAATATTTTATATTGCAAAGACTTTTAGTATTTTGGAATCTGTAATTATACCATAATATTCTGTCTTATTAGTTATTAATATTTGTTAATATACAAATCAATATAAAATTATTGAACCTAACTACCAGCCTAACTAGCAACACCTCATTGGTTTGTGTCAATATGTTAGTTGATTTTTAAAATTTGACCCATAGCTATTTAAACAAATTATATTAAGAAAATTAATGTAAGAGAAATTATATGATTATTTGTTAAAGCATTTTCAGAATAGTTTTCCTTCTTATACTAAACAATGATCAAATTTTTGATTAGTCAACCTACATATGGTGTTTTGATAGATTTGAGTATAAATCCCATACAATTTTTTTAAGAGAGAGAGAGTTTTTTAATATTTATTTTTTAGTTTTCAGTGGACACAACATCTTTTATTTTATTTTTATGTGGTGCTGAGGATCGAACCCAGTGCCCCGCACATGCCAGGCGAATGTGCTGCCACTTGAGCCACATTCTCAGCCCCTCATACAATTTTTTATGAAAGATTTTCCAGCTTTATTGAGGTATTGCAGTTCTTAAAGTAATAAAATATTGGCCTACTTTGGGCAATGGGTATCATCATAAAATTAGCATTTGCCTGTTAAGAACAAAAACTGTAGTTTCAGACAATTAGGTTAAAAGTTTTCCTACTTTCTGTGACAAAAAGAAAAACCTATCTGTTGAAAACAATTCTTACCTAAGGAACTCATTTATTCAATAAATTCATATTGAATATCTGTTCTGTGCCAGACATCCATCCTTGTCTTCCAAGAAATATCACAAGGAAGATTCTGCATGTACTCTCTGGCTGGGAACTATAAGATAGCCACATCCACTTTAGGAATCTCCTGTTACTTAGCTCCTATTCCTTGGCCTGTATGGAGAGAGTATGCTAGAAGGACACTGGTAAGAAAGACAAATGTCCACCAATTCCTCACTGGTTAGGTTAGTCTTTCTGGTCTCAGCCTTACCCTTTCAGCTCAATGCCTTCCTCTCCTTTCCTAGAGTTGTCACCTGACCCCACTGGAGATCAGGGTTCAGGTATTGGATGAAGTCAGTTGCACTGTATCTGAAAGCATACTAAAGTTAGTGGGCCATTGTAGATATTTCTAGGATTTACCTATGTTGTTAACATAATGTTTATTATGTTTAATGTATAATGTTAATATGAGATATATGTAGAAGTGAAATATTTCACCTGGAGCATGCTGAATCTGAATTTAAAAATTTTTTTAAAGTTTTATAATGTAGTTGAGATATTAAGGGGCTGGTATCATTCTGACATGTAGCCTTTGCAACTTGACTACACAACTAATAGAAGAGTAACCTAAAACAAACAAACAAAAAATCAGCCTTTAAGTGGATTGCCTGCAAGGTTTTCAAGGTCACCTTGAAGCTTTGACTGATTAGGTGAATTCATTCAAGAATTGGGAAATTCATATTTATGCTCCAAGTATTTTTAATGGGAAAGATTTCATCATATTTGAAAGTAACAGCTGATATTCAATGAGTGAAGTATTCTGTGGATATTTTTGTCTTTTGAATATGATGTTTAGAATCCCAGTATATTTCCAGTATTTTTTGAGAATTGGCGATTAAAAAGGCAGTAGCTTGGGTCTTGATTTTGGATCCCTGAAAATAAACCTATTTGAGAGTTAGAAGGTGGATTTCTGGATATATTTTGAACCTAGTTGTTTCTTCCTTTCCTTTACTACCCCTTCCATGGTCCAGACCTCCAATCTACTTCTTGTGATTGTGGATTTGCTTGGCCTGCTGAGAGTCCTGCTGCCATGCTTCCCTCCCTAAAGTAGATCTCTAAGGGCTTTCTCATAGTTAACCACATCCTCAGACCTCACAGTTCTCACCGTGGCCTGAAGTCCCGAGCAGTGGGGCCCTAGCCTGCCCCTCACCCCCCATCTTGCTCAAATCTTGCTGCTTTGTGGTGACTGGTGCTGGTAGAATATTTCTACCTTTGAGAAGTTTCAATTGTTCTTTCTAGATTACTCTTCCTACAGACATCCCCATGGTCAGCTTCCTCTCTTTATTTCAGTCTCTGATCAAATGTTACCTCCCACAGAGAGTTTTTCTGGCTACCTCTTTAAAAACTGGAAAACTGTCCCCTACTCTGATTTTTATTTTGTTGTGGTACTTAGTGATACTTGATGTACTATGTCTGCCACTCAAATATTTGGTGAATGAATTACCAGTGTTATATATTCTGTCCCAAATTAAACATACCTGAAGCATGTATAATTGTCGTATTTTAAAAATGTGAAAAAACATCTGGATAAATTACTGAATGGGTAGATGAACTTGTCTTTTCCACTCCTTTTCCTACTTTTATACCATGACATCTAGAATATTAGGATCTCTTTTACAGCAATGATGAACTTTGGCTGTAGTTAGGTGTATCATCCAGCAGAGGGTGATAGAGTCAGGGTATAGTAAGAACAACTTTGAATCTTCAGTTTTATTTTGCATGAAAAAGTTCAGTTTAGTGGCCATTTTCTTTAATGTAAGGTGGGAGTTGTCCTTCAGTGAAAATAGGCCCTATTTTGTGTAAGATGATGTCCAATCTTTCATTAGTATTTTACTTTAAAATTAAAGAGTTATGGTAGGATGAGAGAAGAATTTTTTTAAAATGCTGTTGGTAGTTTTTAACAGGTAATATAGAATAAGTAAAAGGAATTACCCTTAAAAATGAGTAAATATGAGATTATTTTCCAGTGAACTTCATAGGACAAAATGATAGCTTTAATACAGATCTTTGCTAACTTGCTGTGTTAAAAACTATTAATGCTCTCTTTTTTCTAACATTGAATTTAATGTGAGAGAGATGCCACATGTATTGGTAGTTGTTCTGCAGTAAATTGTCCATAGCTGTTTCATTACCATGAGGTGGTCATGGAGGCATGTGACAGCATGCCTGACAGGAACAGGAGACTTCTGTGCACTGATATAAATGGCAGTACAAATGGATGTTCTACCCAAACTCTGTACTAGTGCACCATTTTATGCAATGATGACAGTCTGTTAGACTAATGCATATCTTGTTTTAATGCTTCAGCATATTTAACTTTTAAAATAAAAATCCTTAACCCGTCCTGGTTACTCCAAAGTTTTTTTTTTTTTTTCCTTTTAATTATACTTATGACTCTGCTTTTGGATGTTGCAGCAGTTTGGCTGGGTTTTTTTCTTATAAGACCAGACATCTGTGGCTACTAATATTCTTAGTCTTTTTAAATTGAACCTTTAATGTGTTCTGAGGCAAAGTGAGTCCATAAGACAAATACTATGAAATGTATAATGTGTAAAACACCAAAACAAAATAGCTTTGTATTCAAAACAACTTTAATAAATGATATTTTATAATGTGGTATAAAAAAAGTGGTTTTCTGTTCTGACCTCATGCTTTGATATAAGAAAAGCCATTAGTTAGTTTTTGTTGATTACCATTCTGATTAAATCAAATGAATCGTACAACTTGATGTACAAAAATGTATACATTCATTTTTATAGTTTTGGTGGAAAGGAAAAAGGCAAAACATTTTAATAATAAAAAGCAAACATATAAAGGAACTAAGACAACTTCTTTAAAAAATATACAGTTTCAACATAGTCGTGCAATATATACATTTATATTTTGACTTCATCTGCCAAAATGAATCAAGTACATATTATACTTTTTATATTTACATAATGGCTACATTTTTATTTAAAATTCAAAAAAGTAATTAACATTTTTATTTATTTCAAACTTTAGCCCCTTTCTTATCTTTCACCTCTAGATGTTTTAATTTTTCAAATTGATTCAAATGAATAGTCCTGAATGTATTATATTGGGTATAATACTATAATTGTTTAATGTATACAAATTTAAATATTAAGGAGGAATCAGAAAGCTCAGTTTAAGTAATCTATAATCACTTGTGTAATTATAATAAAGTTCTTTGTTTTATTTTCTTTTCACAGTTAATAGATATCTTTCACTATTTTTATAAAAATAACACTTCTAGCTGGAAAGATTTCTGTCCAGTTAGGAGTTCTCAGTTTACAGCTAAAATGAGTAAAGTACATTTTAAATCTCAATGAAGTTTCTTCCTTAAGCTATTTTACTATGTTACTGTTTTATAAAGCTTATGTGGCAGCCAAGCATGAAACTCTGTTTTCATGACACTCTATACACCTGTCTATGTACCATTTATGAAATGGAAATTTTAACCGGACATCTTTTAAGCCTATACTTTACTTACTTTTAAAGCAAAAGTGTGGTTGAATGGAGCACACAACTTCTATTTTTCTCCCTTAATTTCTTGGATGAATACTCAGTTTGTTTAGAAGTGCTTGAGAAATTCACTCCTCCTGGGAGACATTGGGCAATGTCTGGAAACATTTTATGATTGTCATGGCTGTGCCTGGAGGATGCTACCTGGCACCTAGTAGACAGAGGCCAAGGATACTGCTAAACATCCTACAAGACATAGAACAGCCCACCACCTCACTCCCATGAAAACCATCTGGCCCCAAACAATAGTATTAAGGTTGAAAACCATGCCCTAGAGTGATATATGCGGAGACAAGTGGCTAATTTTTAGTTGGTAATCTACCAATTCCATGGAGACTGTAATCCAGGCTGGTTACCTAAGCCAAGGCTAGTTAGAGCTCTCAAGCTCAATATGTGATACCACCTTAGCTTACCCTTATCTAAGGAAGGTGAGGTAAGTGAAATCAAAGGAATGATGTGCCATTGTTCTTTGTAAATCACATTGAAAAAAATAGTATGCATATATGCAGTAGTTACATGGTTTGTTAAATACTCCTTGTCAGCCTAAGGACTAGTTCCTCCATTTTTTTTTTTTAATAAAAAATTGGTTGGAATGAAACAGTCCTCACAGCTGTTAAAAGAATCAGATGCTATGGCATGCTTCACTAGAGAAAACCATGCTGTTTTTGCTATAAACCCCTGACATTTTATGGCTAAATATTTTTTCTTGTTTGTTTTACTTTGTCAAATACAAAGTAAGTCATTAAGTAGTCCAGAGCTATCTCTGGCCAGGTCAGTAAGGCAACCAAGGCCACCATATGCACAAGGGCAAATTCCTGTTTTCCTTTGACATCTCCTCCAAGTCAAATTCATGGAAGATTGTCTATTTGTATTGTAGGAAGTCTGGATCATATAGTTTTAAAATCTGAAGCATCACTGCTGAGCTCCAGCCCAGTCTTCCAATTTTATAATGAGGACACTGAAGTCATAGAGGTTGAAGACTTGTCCAAAGCATTGGGCATGTAATGGTCCCCACTGCTCTTGCCTATGCTTTTTCATCCAAGTCTTCGAAGTCTAGAGAATATGCAGGCTCAGAAATGGAGAAAAAAGGGAACAAAAGGTAGAAAAGGGTGGGCTTCCTCAAAGAGTGGTCCATTTACAGTGTAATGACAGAGTAATTATCAATATGCAGATTATCGGACCTCATTCCAATCTGATCAAATAAGAACCTCAGAAATTGGGGCTTAATAATCAATATTTTGAACAAGGTTGCCTATGTGAAGATGACTCTTGTAGAAACAAGACAAGCACAGAGGATGCACCTTCTAGTATGGTCATTTCCAATGTCTCTATGATTTCTTGCAAATTCCCAAAATGTTGTTTTACTCTACCTTGTTTATACTGCCTGAAATTCCAACATTTAGAAATTTACTCAAGACTATTTTTCTTTCTTACTTAGCAATAAGCAAAAATAGTTCCCTGACGTTGAGGTTGTTCAGAAATTCACACAGATGTGTAAACTAAACAAATGACTTTTTCTTCTTAACATGTGGTATGGAGCAGCTATCCAGGGCATGGGACATTTGGATGAAGGGTGAAGTAAGATGGATAACAACAATGGAAGAGGAAGGCAGCTGCAGGGGACCCGTACCAGACTGGCAATCAGAGGGTGGGGGAATGTTTTAGAAAGGGGGGAGGAAGGATGCTAAAGAAATTGCTCCTTTTTCAAAAATTCACTAGGTACTAACTGTTGTGCATCTTAAAAGAAAGGACATTTCCTCCTTCCCTTGGCACAGGCTGGGCCTCCATCAGACAACAGTGTTACCAAACATTTGTTATTAAAAAAAAAAAAAAAGAAAAGAAAAGAGGATGGAAGCCCAGTACCCACAATGCAACACTTCAATATAAAAAGTGAAAGACAAATTCCAAGTCTGAAACGTGGAGCTGGTGAGGTAAGCGTCATCTCCAGAGGCACTGTCAGGACCACTGCTCTCTAAGAGGATCATGACCCCAGGACTACAGCTGGAGCTTGATGGACAGTTCCCCATGTCCCTCATATGCTCACACCATCCAGCCCAGGTTCAAACTTGGTCATTTTAATGTTTGTTTTTACAATTTAATAAATAATTATTTTAATGATTGCAGAAAAGAAATTTGTAATATAATCATTTATATAAGCAAAATTTTGTGCCTTGGCCTTTACACTGTTCCCTTCTCCAATTTAAATGGAGATATTCTTTGTAGGAGGTATATTCTAAGCTTTTAGTTATTCAGCCATGTTTTGACAATTAAAGTGAGACAGGATTCTGAAGAGGCAGCTGGAGTCTGAGACTGGAAAGAACCAATGGCATATTTTACTGAGTTTATAAGTAAAATTATCACTTAAAAGTATCTTCTCTGGCAACTTTGGATGAGCAGCATAAATTGAAAAACAATGTGTTAGCTTTTTTGCCCTCTTGTTAACATGATAATTTCACACACACACACACACACACACACACACACACACGGAAGTACCTAATATAATATATATTATATATAATATGTATAATATACAGTACTATACATTATATAATAATATACAAAATTACATGTGATATATAGATAATATATAATTATTATGTATGATATAATCTTTGTATAATATATAATTATATATAATATATATACTGGGTACTTCCATTTTTAGAGTTGCTACTTAAATCAATCATTTTAAAGATAGCATTCCCCATCCCCCAAATTCTGAGAAAATATTAGAATTTATTTAAGACTTGTCATGCCTGGAAGCATTTCATCATCTTTGTGACATATACACATTAGAATGTAAACCCTGGACCAGCCAGTTTAAAGATTGCTTTTTTCTTCCGTGTAGAAAATAAGTTTTTTACCCTTTATATCCCAAGGCCCCACCCACAATTTTTTCCTTCCAAACTGACCAGCAGCTTCTCTTCAAATATCAAGCTAGTTCACCTATTAAATATTAAGAAACTCGGACTTAAGAAGAACCCCATTCACCATCACAGAAAACCCCAGCTGGGATGCTGCCAGTTCCCACTACAGAAGCATCTGCTGAGTGGTTCAGCTGTTGAATTCTGTGGTCTCATCAATCTCATCTGGATTTTTGGCCATTTTTTCATATTTTCTTTTGAAGAAGCCAAGCTGTAAAGGCGACAAAATAAAAATGTTACCATTCCTTGGGTATGATCATTATCCTGACTTGAATATTATACCATGAATATCCCATATAGTAACATTGCACTGTACCCAATGAACATGCACAAGTAAAAAAATAATTTTCCCACCCATGGCTTATTTGGAATGGTACTTTTGGCCCCTAAGCTGCCCACTTCCTCTGAGGCACCTCTGGGAGTCCCCAAGGCTCTGGAGAGTGAAAGTGTGGAAAGCGTATTGCTGATTTGGTATCTCCCACCCCTTTAGTGAGGAAATTTAGTTCTAGACAGTTCAATTGAATTGTATAAAGTTAAATTTATCAGAGTAGACTTATTGAAGCTGAACAAAATTTCAGCACTCTGAATGAATGGAAGTTAAAAAAAAAATAAGATCAGAGTTTTCAAAGACAGAGTGAGAAACTGTAAACAGCCTTGCATTTCTTTTCCCATGACAGAGGCAGTGCCATATAATGCTTAAAGTTGCTATTTTGTAAGGAAATTCAAGACAGAAAGCTTTAAGAGTCCTGTATTTTAACATATGATTTTTTTTTTTTTTTTTTTTTACCTTCCACAAAACAGCAACCAGGGCCAACAGCAAAAGGATTCCGGCAATTATACTTCCTACTATAACTCCTGTGGGTACTTCAGCTTTCTCGTCAGGTTTTGTTATCATAAGGGGGATCTGTAAATACATGTTCACAATTGAGTATCCAATTTTAACATTGAAAATAGGGAGATGGTCTAGTTCAATTCTGTAATCCTGTAAATGAAGGTCTTCAGCTTTAGAAGTGACATGATGACATTCCTCAAGCAGTGTGTAGACAGTTTTTAGAGAAAAATCTGCAAAATCCAAATTATTCTAGTTTCTCTTTTTTGATTGCTTCAGTATATTATGGTTGCGTAATGCATGACAATCTCAGATCTCTTAATGATTTATGAAATCAGAATTTCAGTTTCATTTAGTTTTCATTCCCACCAACTGAAAGCAGCCTTGAGCTAGGGAGTCAGAGAACGATCCATTGAGCTTTCCTGATTCAACAACAAGAAGTTGGCATCAGGTTTTTAAACTAATTGATTTCTCTTAAATCTCAGTCAAGGTTGGTGTCAGTTGTTGGAAGACTAGATATAATACCTCAGGGCTCAAGGTGACCTTGTAGTGATGAAATTGTCCTTGAGGGCATTTATGACTCTTTATGACCATTTTCCTGGCAATCTTTGTCATACTGCATGGGAACAGCTGTCCTAAGAGTTTTATTGTGACACTTCATATTCTACTTCCTTTTAATTTTTTAATGGGTGAAAGAATCAGCAAATTCCTTCACAAAATATCCTTAGCTATGTTTTAGAGCAAAATAAAGGGGTATTATCTATTTACATCACAATATTAAGTTAAGGTGGCAGATGAGCTAGCTGCTCCTAGTCATGCAACTTAGGGGTTGGGCTAAACTGGAAACTGGCCTTGGTGACTGTATTTCTCCTCATTTGTGTCTTCAAAAGCTAAAATCAGGGTTCTTATTTTCACAAATTTATGAATAAAGTACCTAAAAATTCATATAGTACACAGCATAATCACAGTCATATGCCTAGTTCTCTATTCCATAGTTCCCTAACCTGGGGCCCATGGATCTCTATTGACCCATGAGTGCAAAGCTGTGCATATTAGATTTTTATGTGGCCTGGGATTTAAATAAATATAATAGTCACTTAGTTACCTAGAGGGATGTGTTGATTTATTATTTGGGCTTAAAACATTATTTCAAAATTATCCCATTATTGTTTGGATTCAAGAAAACTTTCGTAGACACAAGTAAAAGTTGATCTCTGTTACTTATTAGTGCTGCTGGGAGGAAACCAAGAAAGGAGAAACTAATACATTCATGAAAATTGTTAATTTGAATTTTCAATTAATATGCTTAAGTCTGCTTTCTAAAAAACAAAGACTTCAGCAGAGTTTTACATATTGTTTGAACACTGCATTTTTCTAAAGTGAGCTTTTAAGAAAAATCTATAGCTCTTTTCCCCTAGGCTAAGTTCATAGCAGTCTGAATCTGAAGTCTGCATTTCCTTTGGCTCTGTTTCTAATTTTCCATGCCTGGCCTCTGAAAAGAAGGTGTGGACTTTCACTGAAGTTCCTAAGTCAGTGGCAAAAAAGCATCCTCTATTGTGTGGAATCATTTCCCCTGGGACAAGAGTGCCACAGCAGTGTTGTGAGCTCTGTCTCAGGCATTGAGAGGCCCAGAGTTCATGGGCCATTGTTTTCTTCACCAGTCTGTGGGCTGAAGCAAATGGACCCAGGCCAACTGTCCAGCTGCCTTGGGGGCAAAGTTGTGATCTGGCTTCTAACTCCTAACAAAAGCTTTGGGAAGAAAATGCTCAGGGTTCTGCCAGAAGATTAGCTGGGCATAAAAGTCCTACTATATCTAAAAATGGCATATGCTAACCAGAGTTTCAGTGCAGAGGAGAGTTATCCATGCCAGCTCTTGGAACAGAGAATCCTTGTTTTCTGTGGAAATGCATTTCTCTGAAGAATCATTTTTGTCAAGGGGAGCATTTATAGTTTTCTAGAATGTAAGACTATGAATGGACATGCCACACAGTGACAGTGTCTGGTTGTATTACATACTATTTTAAAAAGTCTTCTAATAAATACCTTATTTAGTAGCTATGTTTCAACAGTTCTCTATAAGAAGTATTCCCAAATACAATTTATGATTTAATAAGCATGACTTGGATTATATGACCTAAGGTCTAGATGGTTTTGTGTAAACATAGGAGAAAGGAAAACTGGTGTTGCTGACGTGGGCATGGAGAAAGGATAGCTTGATATCCCAAACAAGATGAGCTCCCATGTTGTGCCTTTCTGTGGATCATCACTTCTAGGAAACTCAGCCTTGCCAACATGGGCGTCTGGAGGAGGAAATGTATATCTCTGAAATTTAGCAAACACCTTTGCTAAAGCTCAACATAATAATCATCAGACTCTCAGAGTTTCAGTAAGATACCTCCATATGCACATGGATAAGAAGAATGAATATTCTGCATTTTTAGAAATAGGTTGCCAATCATGGGAAGGGATGTGGTGCTTACCGTGACAGTGTTTTCTTCGATCACATATATCTGAGGGTTATGGGTGTCAATTTCTGCAGCTGCTGTTAGCTGTACTGTCTGGAAAGTTGACTGGAAAATAGAAAAAGAAAAATATTTTATCCTAAAAGCAGTAAATGCAGAAAACTTGGCATGTTTATTATTTGTTTATTTGCCAGTAGAAAGTGACAAGAGCGAATGTCAATTATGAAGACTCAAGAATGTTTGTGTGCTTGAATGGGCCTTATGTAATCCCATAATGGGCCTTATGGGATTGCTCATTAGGAGTTGGTGGGCAACTTTGCAAATGTTGGTTGATTGGGCCCTACCACCACAAATTAAACCCAATCATGGTGAGTGGGACCAGACAGGAGCCAGTTAAAACATCTCCCTGTGTGATTTGAACATGAAAATGGTTGAAAAACCAGGATTTACAATATATGTTTTTAATATGTCAAGAAATAAAGTTAATGAAAATTAATAAAAAATTAATGAAATTTGGGACATGAGAGAAAATTACAAATAGTCTTTTTATGTATGTACCTGAGCAAGTCACATAATGGAATGAAAAGCCAACATTTATAAGAGAAGACAATTTTCCTTTTGGGTGCACCTGTAAAATAATGCTGTCTCAAAGTACACTTGAACTTAACCATGCATGTCAGTAGCAGATAACTTGATCCTTTGGCATATTACATAACGTAAGGAACAGTTTCAGGTTTTATAATCTAAGTGTTTCTATCAAACAATACTGGATATTAAGTAGGCATATAGGAAGGACATATATTTTATGCTCAAGTTACTAGAAACTTCCTTTTATGAAATAAATAACTTTATATTCAATCTCCAATCTAGTCGAACAAAAATTTATTCTTCATTAGAAATGTTATTGATGTGTTCTCACTATACTGCAAAATTTGGGCCTGACACTTCATATGAAATAGAGTACAATGCTCAGATTTTAGAGCTGTTTTCACATGCTCTGGCTACTAGGACTCAGTTTTTCTGGTTACTAGGGCACAAGATTCAACATACTCCATGAGGTAATTTGTTAAACTATCTCTAGGAGCCAGAAAGAGGGAACATAATTCCAAAAAGTGAGCAATTTATTTCCTTTCCACTGGCTCGGTCTTTAGTTCTTCTTAATTTTCTCAAGATGGAAGATTGCATCAGAAGTTAATCCTGATCACTGGTCTCTTAAACATATGTTATAGGGGAAACATTGAGTATTGATAATGGTTTACGTAAAAAAAAAAAAAAAGTAGCAGTTAAGTGAATGCTAGTTGAATAGTCGCTGTGAAGCAGAAATAATTTTTCTTGCAACTCTGAGATATCTGCATTTTCAAAGCAGGCCCCTCTTACAGGAACACAATTTCCTGGAAGAGTAACAACTACAAGCAGGCACACTTGCACATCTGGGAAAGGGAAGCAGCACACCTGCCAGCAAGCATTAAGGCCTTTTCTTACAATGGCGGCCTGTGCTCCCATCAGCTTGGAAGCCTGAGCAACCACTTCATGACAAATTACTTGACATGTAAAGTTGACTTGCACTACATCAGGAAAACAAGGTGGCAAGACAAGGCAGTGCGTTAATGTGCTCTAATAGAGGAAATGAGATCTACATTTCAGACTGGATCTCTCAGGTGGCCTGAGAGACATCCACTTTGCTGTTGAAATAGCTGAAAACAGGGTACAGAATAAATATTTGACCTTTCATGAAAGAGGGATACGAGTGGGAATTGACATAGAATACCTCTCCAGGGGATTTTCTCAGTTCAGCCATCATAACCATGTTGCAGGAGAATAAATAATATACTTTCTAAGAAATTTGCTCACAGAAGTGAAACTACTGTTTCTGAAAACTGTTGGGAAGGTACTTAAACAAAACAAAACAAAACAAAACCTCATAGTTAAAATGGTGTAGCTTTAAACAAACTCAAGAAAAACCAAACACTTTTTACAGTACTGGCGTGACTGCATTTGGATGTCCAAAAGTCACTTTTCCTTCCCAGTTGGCAAGGTTTGCTTTGAAACATCTGTTCCTCAAATCCAAGGAGCCAAGGACCTACTGGTAAACTGAGCATCATACTGCTCCAGCTAGAAGGTGGTGCAGCTAACAGCTTATGTTGCATCTCAGGGGACTTAGAATTGTCCCAAGGGCTTTGAAGCAAATGCAGATAACAAGAAAACACATAAGAGCAAGCAAAAAGAAAATCAAACTCCTCATTTCCCCACTCCCCAATTCTGTATTTTCCCGAACATTTCAGTATTCCTTTTTATATTATGTCTCTGTACGAAAATATTTGCTTATATTTGATTCCAGACACAAGTTAGAAGAGCTCAGTTGTCTAATCTTTTACACAAAACTCCACATCAGGAAGTGGGGATTATTGAAGAGTCCATGACAGGATGAAAAAAACAGAGAGTGGAGTCTGGTTGGAAGCACTCTGGGAACTGATTTATTTGTAAAAAAAAAAAAAAAAAAAAAGTACAGTGAGATCCACACAGGCCCCAGGAGGTTTCATACTAATTTATATTTTGTCAACTCAATCAGGGCCACGGTTGGCAAAAGGAATGGCTAGATACTCCAGCAGTCAGATTTAAGGAATCCTGTTCCTACTTATATTTTAATGCTACATTGAAATTCTGGCTACCCCAAACCATGCTGGAACACTGCTAGGTAGACTCATACCTGCCTTAGGGGAAAATGACACTGACATTGGGCACATTCTTTGAATTTTTCTTGGAGATTGAAATGACTTAAAAAGTTGTGTGGTCACTGGGCTCTCTTACCAGAGGAAGAGTCAAATAGGATAGCAGATATTACCTGCTCTAATATGGGGAGACAGACCTTTATGCTGGATTCATCTATGGATGATTTAAGACCAAATAGTTAAGAGTTCAAGGAGACAGACAGGGTGGAATGCATCTCTATACGGGTGTGGTGAAGGAGACTGGGAAGATGGAAATGTAGGGACACATGAGGAAGGAGACAATGCACATGTTATCTTTAACCAGGGCAACTAGACTTCATTCCTGTAGGTATCATAAGTAGGCATGGAGTCCATGAAGCAGAACATTGCATGAGCTCCCAGATCATTCTGAGGCACAGCCAGATTGGGGGAGCACTGGAAAGGTATGGAACCTTGCTTCCTTTCAGAGTAAAGTGGCTATCATAAACCTGAATCAACCTAATAGCTCCTTGATAATGAAGCCTATGTTTCCTTGTTATTTATGAACCCAATGGGTAATATTGATACTTACTGCTGCAAAAGTCCTGTTCCAAATTCTGGTAGACACGTTAATGAAATATTCTCCTTTCATGTGAAGGTCTTTCAGCCAGCAGGTGACATTACTACAGGAGGCAGTTCTGCAGTTCTTTCAGGTTGGAGTCAATAGCAAAAGAAAAGAGAGTGTTAATGCAGGTGTAAAAAAGAATAAATGCCAAAATTATACAAAGATAGATAAAACCCAGTGCTGGGAAGGATCTAGGGAAATAAACAATCTCATGAGTTATTAGTACTTGGAACTCTTCTTCAAGGAATTTTTTTTTAACTAGGTCTCAAAATGTAAAAATTGCATACCCTTTGTGTCCAGCCATTTCCTATGTTTACAGATAGCCTCAGGAGATAAGAAAAAGTGTGTGGATTTAAAGTACACAAACCCTGTCTATTGTACCACTAGATCTGAGAGTAAAAACAATGACAATGACAACAACAACAACAACAACAAACCCAACTTGTTTATCAATAATGTACTAGCTAAGTAAATTACTGAACATAAACAAATTTTAGTATAATCTAGGCATTAATCCTAATAATGAAAATGAATTTCTTCGATTGTGAAATTTGGAAAGAATTGAAGTTTTTTAATTTGAAAGAATCAATGATTGTCAAGGTTTGAGAGAGAGGGAAGAATTCAGAGCCCAGAGGATTTTTTTTTTCTTTTTGGTAGTGAAACTTCTCTGTATGACACTATAATCATGAATACATGTCATTATACATCTGTCAAAATCCACACTATGGATTTTGACAATGCCAACAGTGAACCCTGATGTGGAATATGGATTTGGGATGATAATGATGAGTCAGTGTAGGTTCATTAATTGTAACAAATATACCACTTGGGTTCTGGATTTCAATGGTGGAAGAGGCCATGAGAATGTGGGGATGGGAAATACAGGAAAGTTCAGTAGATTTCAGTCAGTTTTGCTGTGAATCTTAAACTACCTTAAAACATTTTAAAAAACAATTATAAGGGGTCTGGGGATGTGGCTGTGTGGTAGACCACTTGACGAGCATGCAGGAGGCCCTGGGCTCTATCCTCAGTACCACACACACACACACACACACACCCACACACACACACACACACACACCCACACACACACACACACACAAACAGTTATGACATATTGGTATATGTCAAAGGTCAAAAGGTAGCAATGACATTTAAGTAACAACACACACAAATCTGTATGTGGTCCAGTGCTCATTAAGAGACAAAATTTCATTCTCCCTTATTTCCCATCCTTCACAAAATAAAACAACTGCAATAAAGAAAACCAGGAGAATTTCAATATTATTCAGACTGGAGAGATGTGGTTTGTTCAGGGTTTATTGTTCACTAATTGTTTGCTTATTTGAATGCTTAATATAAAGTCAAGTACCATGCTAGACTAATCTCTTTCCAAAAGATAAAGGCATAGGTTGGGAGCAGAAGATGAAGTTCTGAAAAACAAAGAGGGTAGCAAACTTAGAAGAAGCTCAATGAAAAATATCAGTGCCTATGTGGCAAGGGATCAAGGACACCACCTATAGAGGACACACCCAACTCTTGCAGCTCTTTGCAACTTTCCCAAAGTGAGCAGCACAGAGACACAATGGTCACAAGTGTCCTTTTGATGTCAGGAGCCCTGGACATGCATTCTGTAAGCAATGGCCTAATTAATAATTCCAGTAACCTCTCTTTGAGAATGTACTGTCTAAACCCAACTCTCACATGCCACTGAAGGCAAAATGAGGACCGTCTAAGATATGAACTGGTGGAGAAGGCAGGTGCCGAGATGCCAGGCAAAGCAAACACTGAATCACTGCAGGAAACTCCACTGGGGCCCCTGTCCTCACCAACTCTTTCGTGTGCCAGAAACTTTCACTCTTGAAGGATACAGATGAAGAAGTCTGTCCTAGCTTCAGAGGATTTATTTCTGCTTTACAGCTGATGTCACCAGCCTACAAGGAAGAACACCAAATCAGATTTAGGAAGCAAAATGGTTGATGATGTTCCTTTCAACATGTTGGGACATCCTGCTGGGGAGGGTGGTTAGGCTCCTTGAAGCTGTGCTTACCTGGCCAGACTTCTGGTGGCCACTAAAGTAAAACCACAGTATCCAAATCCTCTGGGGGGAATTGATGAGGTGGTCTAGGTTCTTTTAGCCTGCTCTGGTTTAGAGGTGGTTTGTCCCCCAAAGTTCATGTCATTAACTTGATCCCCAGGGTAGCAGGGTTCAGAGAGGACAGGACCTTTAGGAGTTGGGACCCAGCAGGAGGCCCTAAATGGGGTTGTGTCCTCAGAAGCAATTGTGGAACTCCAGTCCCTGTCTAGTTTCCTGTTTGACAGTGTTCTCCCCACCCCTCTCTCTGCCTCCTAGCATTCACCACGAGGTTCTCGAACGATGCTGGTGTCATACCCTTGAGTCTCCAGAACCGTAGGTTCAATAAATCTCTTCTCTTTATAAAAGCTACCTAGCCTCAGGTATTTGGTTGTAGTACTGCCAAATGGGGTGATACGTAGGTCATAAGTGATGAGATAAATTTGGAATATAAATAGATTGCAAATGATTTAATTCAGGGTTCTTGTCTGTGGAACATTTTGGATTTTTATGTCCTATAGTCTCCCATGCACAGTGTAGGAAGAACAAAACTGTAAAACCAGCTAAGTGCCTGGACCAAAGAGAGCCAACGTCAAGGTGTTTTTGCTATAGCAATGCGTCTTGGCCCAGGCTACACGGGACAACCACTGAGAAACTTTCAGACAAAAAAACACCAATGTTAGAGAGCTATCTTTATGAAATTAACTGCTAAGTAATTGGCCCCTGGGATACAGAGAGGTTATTCTTTGTTTCTCATCTACAAAATGTCAGACAGCTGCCCAGAACTCCTGTGTTATTTCCATCTTAAAAGTGCACATTTTTATAGGCTACGTTATGGTCCTTACCCGGTCTACGTGCACCCCAGTCAGGTACATCAGTGGATTCTTTTTTTTGGTGTACTGAGGGATATGAATGATTACAGATGCCATGCTCACTGGAGTACTTCCTGTTGTTACCTACATAGGGAAGAAAACACTCCTGTCACGACATGATTCATGGACGCAAGGGAAATTATCAATAATCTCTGTGTTGATGGAGGACAACTATAATATAGTAAGCAACTGCAACAGAGTAGCAGAATTTCGGGTAAGGAAGCTCCTTATGCTGCAGTTTTCTTATATGTGAAATAAAGATAATCAGAAACACCGTGGGCATTCAGTGGTATTCCATCTGTTCTCATCGGTGAGGTTTCTGTTCTAGGTGGACAGTGCTTATGTCTTATTGGTTATATAATTTTTTTAAAAAAATCTCTAGGAATAATAACAGTACCAATCTCATAATTATCTGGAAATTAAACATGGTAACGTGTATATTTAAAGCACTTAATACTGTGGCTGATACTCAGTACACTATGAATGCTATTTTATTTTTACTATGAACTGATTAAATTTCCTAAAAAACATGGCTACCGAATACCATCCATATTTTATAAATTCCAGTATCTGTATAACAAATCAAGATTCTTTTGTAGATTGTTTTTGAAGTCAAAAAACTTGATAGTTGCAGCCATGTCATAGACTAGAAGGAAATGTACAAAAAATAAAACGATACTGACTCAGGATGGAAGATGGATGCTTTTCTACTTTCCAAAATTTCTCCCATGTAATAACATTATTATGAAAGCCATTTTTTTCACAACTTAATTTCTTTTTATAAGACTGATCATAGTCTTTAGAATATAATTGCCTGTTCATAGACATTAGAATTTAACTCAAAAATGTTTTTAGATACTACCAGGAATGACTGTACAAAACCCATACTTGTAAGCTTCTAAACCAGAAGTGGTCTCCAAGAATAAGCTGGCAACATCATTCTATTATGAGGATGTTTGCATATCAATATCAATATCAATAGGATATTATGAGTAATATCCTATTGATTTCCATTGAATATTTGCCTGGAAGATATATCATTATCTCTTACCCAGGACATATAACTAAACACAAAGACTTGTTGACATATCTGTTGTTTATCCCAGTAGCTCTCAAAGTATATAGGACCTGGACCAACAGCATCAGCATCACCTGGGAACTTGTCAAAAATACACATTTTTAGGCCACCCCCAGACTTACTGACTCAGAAATTCTGGGAATGAAGCCTGTTTTAACAAGCCCTCCAGGTAAACCTAATGCATGCTCAAGTTTGAGAACCAGGGGGGTATTTCAACTTCATTTCCTTTTCTTCTCTTCCAAGACTCATCCCCGCCACCCCATGCCTTTTCCTGATTTACCAACCTTATGATAGGCTTACCAACCTTAAGAGAGAAGATGAATTTTGGACCAATATCTTCAAAATTGTGCACGATAGAAGGAACATTCACATCTGAGTAAACTTCATAAAAATTTATGTTGGTGGATCTATTGAATAACATTTATAAAGTCAGTATTTTTAGTTTTGATACTGTCTTGAAGCATCATATTTAAATTTTTTTGTAGCTTATATTACAAGTAAAACAGTTTACTTTTAGTTACAAAAGCAGTAAAATGGTTATTCCACCTTCAGATTGATTGCTTTTGCTTCCACATATGAGCTAGAACATGGGGACCTTGTCTTTCTATGTCTGACTGGAGGCTGGGAAGATCTGAGGTGGGAGAGAATAGAAGGAGGCTGGATAAAGGGCACTAAAACATAGCAGAGAGAAGGAACAAGTTCTAGTGTTCTGCAGCACAGTGGGGTGCCTATTGTCTACAATGACTATTATATATTTTATGAATAACTAGAAGAAAGGAGATTAAAACCTCCAAAACTAATGATAAGGATGAAGAAATGATAATTAGCCTGACTTGATAAGTACACAAAGCATATGTGTATTGAAATGTCCTATACCCCATAAATACAGGTATAATTATTTCATGTCAATGAAAAACTTTAAAAATTGAAGGAAGTAGAAATGTCAATCACTCATGATTTTATCATTGCATATTGTATACATGTGTTGAATTATCACTCTGTACTCCATACATAACATACAATTACAATTATAATAAAATTTCTAAAGGTATTAATGATAATAAATGCTTATGATATTATGGTCCAATGTGTATTTCTAAGACTAAAACAAATTCTTTTTTTTTTAAAGTCTCTTCATTGTCTTTCTGCTGAGATTCTGTTACATGCTTATCACTTGTCAAGTTTCTAAAGTAAGTACAGTTTTACTTTAGAATGGATCCTTGAACTATTCTTAAGGTAGCTGTTGACAGTTATGGTAATATATGTTAGTATCATCCTTGTTGATTGCATGAAAGTATTTATAAGCCAGGGTTTTTTCATTTGGATGGCAGGAATACAGTAATGGGGGATTGGGTATTAGTTCCTGCATTATTCGTTACTGGGAGCCTATGAAACAGGACATAAATTTTCTTTATTAATTCTTCTTCCTATTCATCTCTAGTTTGAAGCCAACTCTAATGGTTCAGGTCTAAATTGGGGTGGATCAAATCAGTTTTCACCAGTAGTGGAATCACTTTCAAGATGGATGACCCAGAGATTTTATTAGACTAGACTAGAGGTATTGGACTGATCTTGATTTTGTTTTTTTTTTTTTTTTTTGCTTAGGATTGCCAACTAACAGCTGCAAGCACAGTGGAGTCTAGGTCAGAGCAAACACAGGGGAGCACTCAGACTGGAATGAAACTTGACATCTCCCATCTTCGTGCTTATTTCTGGGTCTCTAAGGCTGGCTTCCAGCCAGGGCAACTTCTTCAGGTTGCAGAATATGAAGGAGCAGGTGGCAGGAGAAACAGTCTGGAAAGCACTATGCAGATCCTCTCCCTTTGTTTCCAATGGATAGTTTATCTTAATTATAAGATGTTGATTCCATTTTCTAAAAAAAAAAAAAATGGACTGCATATTTTCTGAGGCAGATTTTTTTTTTAAGTTTCTCCACTGAAACTTTGTCTTTCTCTTTTTTATGCCTTAGAAAACGCTTTTCCAAAAATCTCAGAAGGAAAATATGTCATAGGAAGATTTAAATAGATGTGGTATTTGTCAAGGTTATATATATGAGGGGAAACAATGATTGGTGAGCCTTACATGGAAAATGGGAAAAGTGACAAGGATTTGAAACAGAAAGGCTGGCTATGTGTGTATGGATTATTCTCTTTGCCTTTTTGAAGATGTTTGTGTGAGCTCCTAAATAGGGCCAATTTATAAATTGATTAATATGCTCAGCTTTTTGAATTTTAAAGAGATCTTACCCGTGCCCATTCGTTACTTGTTTTTCCTAAGTTACTTAATTGATTAATATATTTATAGTGGCATTTAGCTATGCTCAGAGGGATCTTGTTCCAAAAATAATTCTAATATCACTACCTATTTTCATCCATCATATTTATAAAATATAACTATATATTTAAACAGTATTAGAGTGGTTGCTATCTACTGGAATGTAGATAAACAAACTCTACCTAGGAGCTCTTCCAAATTACACCTGTGAGTCTCCTACAGAGTGCCATTGAGGAGAGAGGGAAGGTGTACTTCATATTTCATTGTATATCCTCCTGTAATATTTAGATTGTTCTAAAGACATTTAATGTTTTTATTTCTAGAAAACATCTGGAGAATTATTTGTGTGTTGTAGGATTAGGATCCACTTTAACTTTTGTTCTTTATAATTCTCCACATTAAGATTTTAGCTATACATTTATTGGGATGTATTGGAGTCCAAATCACCAACATAAAAATACATAGCTGTCAATTAGTAAAAGTGAAGTCCCATTTCAATGTTATATTTATTTCATGTTAAAATATCTGAAAAAAAATTGGCTATGGGTAGAATGGAATAACCAAAAGTCTTTATTAACAATAAGTATGTAGAAGAAAGAATCAATGTAGGTAAGAAGAACAATATTCAGACAACGTGCTAATACTGATCTCTGTGGCTACATTTGTCTTCAATATCTTATTTTAAGAACTGTGAGTCTTTGAAATTTGTTGTTATTGATTAATTCTTCAGGGATGGATGACTTGGACTGAATTTAGTCTCCACTCACGTGTATTCTCGATTCACTTGATACAGAAGCATTCTTTTCATCTTTGCTCATGCGTCTCAAGCTCCAGACAGGATGACATATTTTCCTTTTTGTTTTTGCTTGGTGATTTATTAGAGAATCTGCATATTCCATGCTTTTAGGGGCTAGGGTGATGAGCTAGAGAAACTGTTGTCACTGGACTTCTTGGGGAAACACTGCCTCGTGTTTTCCCTGGGTCACTGATCTGTGCTTCACTGGGCAGAGAAGTCTGATTGCAGGCTTAGAGGTGGGCATCCCTCTGGCTCATGCCCCTAAAACACTGACCTCAGATGGTCTGTTCCATGAACCAGACTCACTTCTGAGTGAGTTAAAGTGCTGTCAACCTATTTTTACCTGTGAGATTTGTATGTTACTCACTTTCAAAGACAGCTGTTCCTCTGAACAATTCAAGATAGTTATAACTTTTAACCACTGCTCTCAAGTTTACTTGCTTTGGGAAGGCAAGAAAAGGAACAAAAGCATTTCTTCATGAATGACTTCCTTTGGAAAATCCCTCATTTCCTCCTGGTTGGAAGAAAACCCTAATCTCTTTTGTCAGGAATTTTCCACTCATGGGCTGGGGATATAGCTCAGTTGGTAGAGTGTTTGCCTCATCTGCGCATGCACAAGGCCCCGGGTTCAATCCCCTACACCACCACAAAAAAAAAAAAAAAAAAAGGAATTTTCCACTCAGAAGCTGGACTTGGCCGAGTTTCCATTTCTGAATTTGTTGTGACTTCCCAAGTGCAAAGCATAGGTTTGGGGGCTTCAGTGTTCAGAAGCGGAGATGTGACTTGACTTCTCGTGAGCAAATTAGGAAGTAGGCAGTGAGAAGAAACTTCTGGCAGCTCTCAGAGCCCTTAAGAGCCTGTTTCAATACCTTGGTAAGGTTTGTACTCCCTCTGAGGGCCTGCAGGGGAGTTTCTCTATGGCATGTGTCAAAAGCTTTGTCCTCTGCCTTCCTGTGCTGCTCTAAGTCAATAAACCCAAAGAATCACTTAAAGTTTTCCTAGGCACCAATTTGTCTATGGACCTCTCTTTTAGTTGATGAGGGGGAAACTAAGTCTCATAACTAATTCTTTAGTTAAGACTGAGCATACAGATAGCTTCTCCAGTCATGAGCCAAGTGTGTTAAAAACCAGGGGGTGCCAATGGCAACAGGCTATCCACCCATATACTCTTACATACCTGGTTAAGTGAATTTCAGCATCATACAGGAGAGGAATTTTGAGGTTGACTGAGTTATCTGCATTGTTTGCTTCCTGGCTTTCACTATTGGAACAAACATGAAGAAATCACTCAAAGAGAACTATCCTAAAAACCATTCATCTTCAATTCATGATGTTTTACCTTAAGGCTTGGAAACTTATAGATGCCTGATTCCGAAGGTTTTGAAGGTCAAAGTCGAAGTTAATAGTAAAAGTTACCTATACAAAAAATTAAAATTGATCAATCTATGATGCTTTATACACAGGAAAAATTGTTCCTCATAAAGTAAACTCATTCTAGTTTGATTCTGAATTTTATACACCTTAAGCTTTTACATTTGTAGAATATTTTTAGTTGACCTTGCTTTAACCTGCTTACTTTAGAATTGGGAGAGCTTAAATTTCAACTGACATAGAAGTTATCCAGCCTCATATATTTGTCTGAATTGCAAATCTTTGGGCAAACATGAAACTTGTTTATAAACACCAGGTGATCTCTGTGACTCTGACTTCAATACTTTGACCTATATTGATCAACATATTCAGACAAAAAGCACTTTTGATATAGTGTGTGTACTTTTACATGTAGAAAAATCCCTAATTTATTAATAATTTAAAGAAAAAAATTCAGCTATTAAGAAACTTTTCTAAGCATGAAGCCTGGTTATTTTGTGATGCTTATCAAATGATAATATCTAATAAAGAAGATGTTATGTTGGTGAATTGACATGAATGCTGAGGTGTGCCTGGAATGAATTTGAGGATGACATGCAAGTTGTACCTGTTGTTCCCTTTTCAAAGCAGGGTAGCCCACATCACAGGAAAGAAACTTCTGAGATGAATCAACTTCACATGTTACTTCTGTACCATCAGCCTGAACAAGACCAGGGGAATAACAACAATCAATTACTTGATAATGTGTGTATGTGTACATACATATTGAAAAATGTACAGGTATATTTTAGCAGTAAGATTGGTTTACATTCATACAGATTATTGTCTCTAAAGACTTGAAAATCTTGTACTGTGAAATTAACTAATATACTATTTTTACTACTAACTCTAAAGATATATATGGACAAAGCAAAGAATAGATTAAAAGTTGGATTTTCCCTCTAAGAAGGAAATCAGTTATTATATTTTGGAAGCACAAAAGGATTTAATCCAATATTCAGAAATCTTTAGTCATACCATTCTCTTAATATTTTTGAAATTTATATTTTCAAGAGAAAAATATTTATGTTATTATTTATCCATGTTTTTAATCAATCAAATATTCTTTTTAAATTTTCCTCATTTCATTTTGTTTTTAAAGTAAAATGTTGCTATTTGGCACAGAACATTAAATGCTAAGGTCAGAATAAGCTAAGAACTCTAAATCTACTGTGAGTTCACATTAACTTTAAATTGGATGAACCATTTTTTGAACCTTTAATCAAGTAGCTCCCTCAGAAAACAGCTTTTCCTTCTTTGCTTTACATGGCTTAAGGGCAGAGGAGGGACCAAGGGGCCCTCGTGGTCAAGGCAGTCCTGGTTTAGTGATCAGGTCCACTTGATTGCCTGGCTTTGCTGGAATGCATCATCTTGGCAGCAACAAGACCTGGGGTTGCAAAGCCCTGGCTAAGCCAAGCGTCTCAGATGCCTCACAGCAAGTGCAGGACATCTGTGCAGGACCACAGCAATCTCATCACACAGATGGCTCGGGAAGAGTTACAGGAGTGTCTGGCTACTGTTGCCAAGTATCAGGGTAAAGGAAAAAGTGACCGGAGCTGCAAAGCAGAATTGGCTCTAGATATAGAGCCAGACAGCTCTCCTGTGGCTTAACCAGTTAGAAGCCACAGTTCAGGACTGATCACGCCCAGGGGAACAGGGCTTCTTTAGACTATTTAGAGGATGTGGGAGGTTTGAGTATAAGGAAGACAGTTAAAGCAAGTGCGAAACACAGTGCTCAGGGTGTTCTCACATACCGGCATGGAGAATGAAGCAAAAAACAAGTTTTCTGAAAAATTAGCAACAATTCCAGTGTTGTAGGCACTTTCCTTTTTGTTTTTCAGTGTTACTGAAAATGTTAATCTTTTATTTTGATTGTTGACAATAAAGGGTTGTTCTCTATTAAAAGTCAAGAAAAAGAAAAAGAAAAAAGGCATTAAAAATAAAAAAGACAAATATTCATAAACTTCATATATTTAAGAAATAAACTATTTGGAAAGTGAGAAAATTGCTTAATAAGAATAAATTATCTTCACATAAAAATGCTACTATGCATAAGTAAATGCTACGAGACTTTTTTCTTTGTTGCTTTTAATTACATGGCAGGGACAACTATCTCAATACCAACAATTTTGTATTTCTTATGCTCTATTCTTTTGTGAATGATAGAAATTATAATTTAGTCTTTACTAGTGTGAATTTTTTTTTTTTTGGTAAAAAATAGCAACCTCTATAAACATTGATTTGAATGAAACAATCAACTGCATCTTTCATTTACACATTTTATACTGAGCTTTAAAATAGAACATACTGAACAGCTGGTAGTTGTTGGACATCTAGAACCAGGTCAGAGATGCAAAGTCCATCGTCGCCACAATCTTTATAGAAAGGGATCTGAAAAAAAAGATATATATATATATATATATATATATATCTATGTTTGTGTGTGTGTGTGTGTGTATATATATATATATATATATATATATATATATATATATAACTTGAAGCATTTTTTTTTTTAGAAAATTAAGACATTAAGACTTTGTCCTGGGTATTTTTAAACACTACTGCAGTGACTGTGAACCTTTGTTAGCCAATGTCAATGGAGAAAGGGCATGTGGCACTTACACTGAAGACCTTGACTGTGTCAGAATAGGCTTCCAGGGCAGGGCTAGTGCCAGCATTTTCTAGACTGATGTCCACACGCAGATCCAAAGAATTTACAACATCAGAGGGTTTCTAACACAGAACACACACACACCACAGAGTCAGCATGTTAAGGCACAGCAGGCTTTAAAACAAGAAAATGACTTCAAATGTGTTTACGATTAAGAATCAGCACTCGATTATTAAGTATATGCTTGTTTTGAATGATCAGGTTCTGCTTCCTCTTTTCCATCCTACTTCTGCTGTCAGCCTCCATAGTACTAAGAAACCTAAAGATTCTTGATTACAGTGAAAATATAAAGGAGCAATTCTTAGTTGAATTCATCAATAATCTCATTATATATGCATAAGCCATTATAACATGACAATCTTCCAATGACTTCTAAATCAGTACCTTGCTTTTGAGCTGATGTCTATGTCCTTCTCATTCTTATTTTCAAGACTAAAGAGTCCCCAGGTGTCCAGATCAAACCTCTGGAAGGGCTTATCATGACCCAGCTCATGGATGGCTATTAAGGAGGGGGCAAGAAAACTTCCTTCCTTGGTCAGAATCTAAGCCTTCTCTACAAAACCAGATAAAGATTCCTATGCCCAAAGTCAAGCTCTTTAGCCTCTGGCCTGAGCTGACTTTTAGAAACTCTGTTGCTCCTTGTACATGAAGGTGATGCACATGTCACTCAATACTTATTAAAGTCAGCCTCGTACACACACTCTGCTCTGCCTCTGTATGCAGAATAGAGGATTTGCAGCATTACAGGAGGGTTGGGTCCCTTCCAGTTTTGAGGCTTCTTGTCTGATGAAACATGTAAAATGCCAAAACAGTTGCAAAACTCATCTAGCAATCCTTTTACAAATCTTTTCCAGTTCTTGTCAAGAAAGAATTATGTATATACAAATGAAAACACTCCTAAAAATCTAATTTCCCTTCTCCTCAGGCACAGTATGTTCATTATCTTGAGTGCATTTCACCAGCAGGACTTATTCTCAAGTCTTTGAGTCCTTTCTGGGATCCTGATACGAGGACAGCTTGACTCTGAGCTTCCTCAGTCAGCAGCAGGCTTGGTATATCGGGTGGTCTCATATGGTATTGATGTCAAATAGGAAATAGGATTTTTTTTTTCTTCAAGAAAAACAGCTTGGCTGTCTTTATCTCCCCACAATGGATTACATGTATAATCTGAGTCACTAGTTGACACCAGACAGGAGAGAATGGAAGTCAGCTTTTGTTTCCTTTAAAGAATCTGTATAATTAGGATTTCAACAGCAACAACAAAATCCAGGCCTTCACAGACAAGAAACTTTAAAATGAAATAATAACTTAAACAAGTTGACTGCACTTCATTCATCTAACCATGAAGTTGATGTCTTTCCAAATCTCATGCTTGGCTTTTCTTGAAGTGTGATCTCTATACCATCCATCCACATTGGGAATAGCTGGCATGTCCCTTAAATCGGCATAATCTTTGCCCCTTCAAACCCAATTTATGGTGTTGGGAACCCAGAATGTGGATTTAATATGAGTTTCCTTGACAATTCTTAGGTGCCTTAACCTCTGAGAACTGTGTTTAGGATAGAATACTTAAGCAGTTCTTTTTAAAGTGGTTTCCTGAGTAAATCACGCTTTCAAATATCATTATGTAGTTGCTAAGGGGAGATATTTCATAAAACATATAAAATAAATTTCCTCTTGGAAATTTTCTCCTGAGAAGCATTTTTCCTACCTGGGAGTTTTTCAAGAACCCTGAGAACTATATTAATTATGGCACAAGATTAGAACATGTAATCTTTAACTTACCATCGTTCTCCTATCAATAGTGGAAACACGATTAGAATTGGAATTTCAGTAGTTTAAAATGAATAAAATTTTCCCCAATGGGAAAATATGAAAATAAAATTTTTTGTCCACTGTAAATTTGCAATATTGAACATTAAAGAAAGTACTGTCTTTGATTTCTTTAACAATCTTATTTTTAACCCTTTTAGTAATAATCCCAAATAAAATTTAATGCCACTAATTTATATAATAATAAAAGGTGACCATAAGTATAAAGATAAAGGAAATATGCTTCATGTTCATAGAATTAGACAAGAAAGGAAATAATTAGGAAGGCAAGCATTTTCTAACACAAATTTCCATTTTAGAACTTTTGTGACCATGAGGCCTCACCTGTATAAGAATGATGTACTCAGAGCAACTCTGTGCTTGATTTACTACCATATTCTTCTGCAAGCACCTTTCATTATTTTCTTTAAATAAACCTCTGGAGGTTACTCTGGATGAATATCTATCTGCATCAAGTGTGATGTTATACATAATAGCTGTGATAAAAATCATAAAGAAATGTTATTACAAATAAACTTCTAAGGAAAAAAAGTCTTACATTGTTTTTTCATATCACACAAAGTCTCTCTTAAGTTCCAGAAAATAAAGAAATAGTCTTTACACTGGTAGATTATGAACTAAGGGTAGCACAATATGATTTTTTAATTCTAGCTCTGATAACTGACTTTGGATACAAAGAAATGTTATTCAGACAAATGTGGCTGCGAGCTGTGGAAAGAACATTGGACTTGCTACTGGGAAATCTACAGATAAACCTGGTCCGATTACTCACTGCCTCCTGCCTCAGCTTCCTTCTCCTTGACGTGGAGACAGGGAAAACAAAGGGACAGTTATTGAATGCCTACAGTTAAACACATTCTCATGTTACCTTATACAAGCTTTACAATAAATCTGGGAAGTGGATATTGTTATTTTAGTTTTGAGATAATGATATAAAATCAGTGAAATAAAATAATTCACTTACGGTTTACACAGTTAAGACTTGGTAAGAAATAACACTTGGATATTCTTGAAATAAATTCTGTGGTCTTTCTGTTTCTCTGCCATTTTAAGGGACAAATGTCCCCTTAAGGACTAACTAAGGTCCTCTGGAAGAATGCGTACATTGCCAGCATGTTCTACAATCTTCCATGGGGAAAGACATGCCACACTGCCACAATCAGGTTCAAGTCAGACTTGGTTTAAATTCTAATTCCATAGTCTGTGCTCTGTCACTTTGGGCAACTTAATCTCTTTGAACCTCTGCTTCTTCAGCTATCAAATAAAGATAATCATATCATCTCAGTGAATTAAAAATGAAAAAAAAAACACTGTGTAAGAAAATTGATGATAGTACCAAGTGTCTAAACTATCAGAACTATTACTTTCAACTAAAGTCCACTGTTGGAAATTTAGAGTGAATATCTCATGCTATTCATAGATTATCAACTATTTTATTTGGGTTTACTCTATCAGATTTTATTTCTTTCAGTATTTTATGCATTATTGTCAATAGATACTTTAAAAGACACATAAAGATTCAATGCTTTGAATATACTTCGTAAAGCATTAAATCTTTATGTGTCTTTTAAAGTATCTATTGACAATACTGTATAATTTTTTCTTGCTCTAATTACTTAATGAGATAAAAAATATGGCTAAAACACACACACACAAAATTAACTAAAAATAAGCAGTGAAAATTAAAAAAAATAATTGTGGGTGGCTGGGGATGTGGCTCAGTGGTGGAGCACTTGCCTAGCACATGTGAGGCACTGGATTCAATCTTCAGCTCCACAATAAATAAATAAATAAAATAAAGGTATTGTGTCCATCTACAACAAAAGATTTATATTTAAAAAACGAATGGTAGGGAGGTCACTGTAGTTAGGACAAAGTTTGTACATGTTTTAATACTTTTAATTTTTTAAAGCAAATGGGTGAAACTGATATACAGTCTCATACTGGAATATGTGCCCAATGTAATAAATAATATAAACCATATGCTTTATAATTCACTTTTCACAATTAAGAGGATGGGATTCTTGCCTTACACACTATTATTGACAAGCAATTAAGTGAGCGACGATGACGACTGGCTTATCAGTGTGAACCTGGGGAATCCAGGTGAAAGATTCAAAGGAAATGGTGAATGACAGCATGAAAGCCAGGGACCCTCAGCAGCCAATCAATGGCCCAGGAAATTTTCGGACAGTGGAATTTTTTATGTGAAGCAATAGAAAAGATGAAATATGGTCAAAATATGGTCAAAATGTGGAAGATGCTTGAGACACATTTTTGCTTTAGGCATGAAAGATGAGCAGTCAGGTATTCCTGCTAACTAACATATCTTCCAATTTAATGTTTTAGGCAGAATAGTAACAATGTTCATAGAGTAGTGATTTGTGATATGATTATCATGGCTACTCAGATGGACGTGTGCTCCAAGGCAGGTCTGTGAGCTTATGCAGCTCAAAGTCGGGTCAATGTTTGAACACCTGAAAAGAAAACTTCCAGATGGATATGAAGTCTTGCATAGTTTGTCATATTACACAAAAGTCTAAGTTCCAGAAAATAAAGAAATAGTCTTTACACTGGTAGATTATGAACTAAGGGTAGTGAAAGTTGTGCCAGATATGAATCTAATGTTGGCTTTGTGTTCTGGCCTTATTTATTTCTTGGTTTATATTATGGCAAACAACCTGACTGATTATTTTCAGACTTTAAGCTAGTTTATTTGTTGTCCACTTAATTAAATATCTGTAGGAATTACAGGTTCTGAAGTGTAGAGCCAGAATCTGATGGAAGGGGGTTTAGAACCCATGAAATAGCAGGGTGGTTTTAAGTGTTAAGTTGCATGCTGTCTACAGAAGGTGCTGAGATAAAAGTTGGAGGTGAGATGGAGTGGTTAGAAAAGGTGTCAAAGAGGATCCTGGACCTTAGCCAGGACTAGAAAGATGACATGGCCAACTGAGGGGACAGAGGATGACAATTCCTGCTGACACTTGCCTATGGTGCTTTTCTTATTTTCTGCTATTTGGTGAAACACACGCAGACCTTGACTTGCTTCTCTGGATTGTTTAGAAAACTTAAAACAGTAGGCACAGATTCCATGCTTCCTTTCATTATTCAGTGCATTAATTATTCAAGAATAGGAATAGCATTCCATGTTTCACTGCATATATTGCATCTAGAACAGGGCATAGCCAACAAGTGGCACCCTCATTTAAAACTACCAGTCCAGTGAAATCTGTGTGTGCCTGCAGATTTAATTAAGAGAATTGTGGGTAAGAGAAACTCAAAGGACAGAGTTGAGAGAACCCATAATTTTGCCATGAGATTACAACATTCTGTAGCAGAATGTCACCTTCCAGAGATGAGGAAGGAAGAGCTAAACAAACATTCTATGCCTAATGAACCATTCTTAAGTACCTCAAATGGGTGGCAATTTAAGTGTCTGCAAGTAAAGATGCTTCTTTCTTTTTGTCTACAAATCAAAGCATAGCTTACAGACTAAAACCATAAATAAACCTATCTCTGTACAGGTAATTTCAGGTCTACTCACCCACTTGATTGTTTGGCCTAGTAGGTCTAAACTTTGCACTGAAGCAGAGTTTGAGGATTATCTGAGTATTCTTGTTGAACAAAGTGATTTTTTCTGGTGTGAATGTAGCTTTCACAGCCACATCAGCAATACTCTGTGACCTGAAAGATACAAATGGAAACAGACATTATTACCAAGCATACATATCATGAGCTTTACACAGAGAACCCAGTACGAGCATCATTTATTTTTTCTACCTTGCATCTGAACACTTCTGCAGTATTTTCCATTTGAAAGCTCTAAGGTGGAACAATGACTTTTTGATTGTGACTACATCATCAGCACAACACACATACATTTGTTTTTAAATTCAATGAATAGCTGCATGAGCACAGGATAGAAGTCTGCAACCTCTTTGCAAGCCAAGTCATGGTTTTGGTTTTCATCAGCTAGAAGTAGTGACATTCACCCTTCTCACAATGGTAGGGGAGAAAGAAGGTGAGCAGGTAGAGATGGCAGGGCTGAGGAATTTGGTCATGGCTACTTCCTTACTGCCTCAGAGTTTAGCAGCAATTCTTTGAAATGTGGCATATGGCCATGAGGGTAGCAACTAGCTAAGTGTCAAAAAAAAAAAAAAAAGGCTGTAGAGTCACCTCAAGCAGATCGCTGTAACCTTATGACCTGGATAAAGACTTTCTGATATCTTGCACTGATCTGATTTGCTCCTTACAACACTCCTATGAAATAGATAGGACAAATATTATTTTCATTTTAGCAAAGGAAATGTCTGAGACACAAGACATTTGAGGACTTACCAGTTTACTTGATACAAGTTAGCTAGTGAGAAGTTGGAACGCACAGTCTCCTAATTTCCCTACAGTGGAATTTACACTTGATCACAGTGACCTGTGGTGTTTACCCTCAATTATTTACAAAGTAAGTTCACTGTTTTTTTTTTTAAAGTATCACAAGAAGACATATAAAACATTTCCTTTTAATATCAGGTACCACCTGAAGGACTCCAGTTAATGGAAAAATAATTTCAATAGTTAATGTCTATTAGGCCTCCTAATGAATAGTCATAAAACATCTAATTAAAAAAAGGCAACTTATCCTCAAGTTTATAAGATCTGAAATGCTTAAGTGGCTGTTTTCTTTAAGGCAATCTTTAAGAGAAAACAAGTATTTATTTCAATACAAATGTCACTGATTTACATATTTTGTAAGTTTATTTAAAAAAATATTCTTAGGAGTTAAGCAGAAAGAACAGTCCTGAAAACTTACAGAATGTGACCACAAAATGATCTTAACCTAGCTTGACTCTTATCTCCATATATTCATTGACTAGTATATCTTGATATTTTTTAAGAATCAAAATTGTATTCAGTAAGGAAAAGTTTGCCTATCACTAAATATATTTTAAAAAGTGACATAGTATAGTGAATATATAGCCTACCAAGTATAAATTATAAAGCCTACCAGGATGTGTAGAGGGTGATGTTCACTGAGAGATTTCTTATTAAACCACTTAAAACTCAGCCATATAATTATATCACACCTTGCATTTACTCTTGGCATGCTACTTATAAACAACCTTAACAAATTTTATTTTGGAAATATATTTTCTTGTCTTTCTGTCTCAAATATTATCCTTGATTTTATTTCTACCACATAACAATTTCATTCTACAATAAAAGAAATGCACTTATTCTTTAAAGAACAACTGAGTTTTGCAAAAAGTATCATTAAATTTAAAAATATCAATGATTAATATTTTTGTGTTCTTGATATTCATTCAAAGCACATTTTTTTAAAAGAGATGAATGAATGGGGACTCTTGAATAATCAATTTCTTTATAATTCCAATCCTGCACAAGTCCATGCACTTATTTTTGACCTTGAATCACAAGGCCTTTGAATGTGATTCTTGTTCCCCCTCACCTTCAACTCCTAAGGACGTCAATGAGAGGTCAGCTAAGCCTAAACTGTGGCTTCCTTTGTATGACTAACAATTTTAAAATACACCTATTAATCACACATGAGAAGTTTCACTTTATTTGTGTGTTCTGAACATTCAGTATTTTCAATGTGTTCATGAGGCTTCCTTGCTATAAGCTGAGATAAGGCTGTTAACAGAAAGGTAAAATATCAGGGTGTCCAACAGCTTTTTTTTTTTTTTTTCTATGCACTGTTTGGTTTTACAATGTAGAGAAAAAAAAAAAACTTGATGCTAATGTGGAGCAAATATATATTTGCTCCCAGGAAAAATATCGTCCTCTTCTATGCAAATTCCCCAGAATCTTACATAATGCACATGGCGTTTCTCCATTCCAGCACAGCAGCTCATGTTCAGTGAGCTCGTTTGCATCTGGCACTTACTGACTCACCAGAGTTGAACCACTTGTCCAAAAGCACCGATGGACACATCAGTGATGGAATCCCCATTTAAGTCTCCATAGCCATCCAAGGATCTCCCAAAGAACTGGAGATGGCTCCTAAAGGCTCCATCAGATCCCAAGATTTTCTGTAAAAGCAAGTTTGATATGAAATGACACCGCACAACAGTGGAGCCGGAAAAATGGCAGCCTCTGTCCTCTAATGCCCCATGTTGTCATTTTCCAGGTTATCTTTATTCTCCACAAAATTCCGCTGTTTTTTCAATCACTTCTTATTTGCCTGTGTACCACTTTTGCACCCACATTTCCATTAATAAAACAGCATGCATCTACAATATAAAACCACAAACCAACACAAAATAGTGAAAAGTTCAGTGGATGGAGAATAAATTGATTCAAGTTCAGGTCTAGATTTCTATCCCAGCTTGTCTTGTTCAGGTCTTACACAAAAATTGCCTGCGTAAGGGTGTTGCTTAGTTAACCTTTATCCAACTGGTATTTCTCACTTGAAGTTTTATTCCCTAATTCAGTGTTCTTTTCTTTTTTGAATTCTGTGGCATTTATTACTATAGGAAATCCTTCATCTTATTTATCTGTTTTCCAATTGTCTCCTCTATTAGAATACATAATCCACGGAGAGCAGAATTTGACATGATGACAATCGCATATAAATACATCATAAGGTAGCTCATGTCTTACCTGGGAATACTTTGTGCGAATGGTGTCCTTGTGACCATTGTAAATGTACACAGCTCCAGAATTCTGATTTTCTAAAGGTGAACCGACGATCACATCATTAAAGCCATCCATGTTGATGTCTGACAAAGCTGCAATTGCGGAACCAAACCTAGCGTTTTCAAAGCCCTTGGGGCCTTCTAGAAATTGATGCTGATTCAAAATGCCCTTGCAAAGGGAATAAAGAATGATTAAAGCAAATCTCACAACATGTGTAATTAAAATTCACAGCAACTGATATCCAAAACAAAATGTTACTTATAAGTAATATCTTGAATTAGAATTCAAAATTTTCTATTTATGATGGCAATGATAAATAAAAACTTTAATAAGTAAGATCACTGCATATTTGCTCACAAACCGAGATTAAAAGAGGTACTTCTCTTTAGCTGAACAACCTAAAAAAAGTATTCATTCCTTTTTCTCCTTTTCCTCTCATATTAAGATCTTCACCTGTTTCCGAATTTTTAATTTAAAACATTCTGATGAAAAATCTAATGTCTGGGATGAAATTAAGGTAAATGCAAAACAAAATAAAATATGATGATTTAGGTTTTACTTAAAAGTCACAAAACAGTGGCACAATTATAATGGGATAGGAAGTGGAAAGTGAAATAGTTAATATTCCATTGTAAGAAACACTAAGTAATTCTGCCCAGTGGAAAAGACATTTCCTTGTAAAAGACACAGTTTTTCCTTCAGATTTTGTAATCAACTAAGGAAATATTTCATGACTTTGCAAGAAAGTCATGCTCCTCAACCATGAAACTGGGTCAGTGTTGTTTTTTCTTCTATTGTAATCTCATGGAAATGAATTTGCTACTGAGTTTGATAACATATCAAGAGATTTTTACATCTTCAACAATTAATGAAATAGTTCAGAATATTTGAAAAGCAAGGAACATTTTAAAAACTGTGGATTAATTAAATTTTCAAATAAGTAGATGTGTGCTTCCCTTATTGTATGTATAATGATACACTCTGATTATATAGGTAAAATCAGAATTATTTAAATTGCTTCTATGAAAGAATTAATTTTTACATTAATTTAAATAAATGAGATAGGATAAACTATCACAACGGCTACGCATAATCTTGACTATGTTAACTTCAGTTTCTCTTTTTCTCTCTATACTTGTCTAATTTTCCATGCCAAACTGTGCCTTTAATTTTCTTCCTGATTTCACTAAGTCCACTATACCTCTATACATGCATTTAGAGAGTTCAGTCTGCAATTTGGAAAAATTGTGCTTTTTTATGTCATATTGAACTAAATTTTATGTGCAAGTATTTGAAATTCCAAGAGTTGGACATATACCTAAATGTTTCATTAAGCAATGGAATTTCCTGACAAACTAATGTAGAAAGCATCTAAGATTTTATGGAGTTTTCTAAAGTGGCTGGTACAATTTGTCTCTTTACTGCAAGTTGATAGCAAAATAGCACTGTTGTGTTATTATTATCTTTTCATAAAAAATGAATGGGCTGGGGATATAGCTCAGTGGTAGTGTGCATGTCTAGCAAGTATGAGGCCCTGGGTTCAATCCCCAGGAGTGAAAAAGATGGAAAGAATTCTTATGTTTGTGGATAGGCAGAATTAGTATTATCAAAATGGCCATATCACCAAAAGCATTACACAGAGTCAGTGTAATCCCTATCAAAATACCAATAATATTCTTCACAGAACTAGGAAAAATAATTCTAAAATTCATTCAGAAAATAAGAGACCCCAAATAGCCCAAACAATCCTGAGTAAGAATGAAGCTTATAGCATCACAATACAGGACCTCAAATTGTACTATAGAGCTATAGTAACAAAAACAGTATGGTATTGATTGGCACCAAAACAGAGCGGAAGACCAATGGAATAGAATAGAAGACACAGAGAAAAATCCACATAGATAGAGTCTTCTGATATTTGACAAGGTGCCAAAAACACATGTTGGAGAAAATATAGCCTTTATTTTAAAAATACAAATGGTGCTGAGAAAACTGGATATTTATATGTAGAAGAATGAATCTCGATCCCTATCCCTCTCCCTGCACAAAAGCTGACTCAAGGTGGATCAGAGACCTAGGAATTAGAACAGAACTCTGAAACTGCTAGAAGACAATGTAGAGCCAACACTACATCATGGTGGCAGAGGTAGCAACTTCCTTAACAAGACTCCTAAAGTGCAAAAAGTAGAACCAAGAATTGATAAATAGGATGGTATCAAATAAAAAAGCTTCTGTGAAGCAAAGGAAATAATAAAGAACATATAGAGAGGACCTACAGAATGGAAAAGATCTTTGCCAACTATTTCTCAGACAAGGGATTAATATCCAGAATATATAAAGAACTAAAAAAAACCCAAATAACACAATTAATAAATGGGCAAGAGAACTAAGAGGCAGTTATCAAAAGAATAAGCACAAATAGCCAACAAATATATAAATAAAAAGTTCAACACCTCTGGCAATCAGGGAAAGGCAAAGAAAAAGTATATTGAGATGTCATCTCACTGTAGTCAGAATGGCAACTATCAAGAATGCAAATAAAAAATAAATGCTGGCAAGGATGTGGGGAAGATGTACACTCATAGATTTTTGGTGGGACTGCAAATTAGTACAACCATTCTGGAAAGCATTATGAAGATGCCTTACAACTGTAGGAATGGAACCACCATATGACCTCCTTCTATATATACAAAAGATCTAAAATCAGCATACTACAGGGATACAGCCACATCAATGTTTATAACAGCACAACTCACAATAGCCAAGTTATTCAACCAACCCAGATGTCCATCAACAGACAAATGGATAAAGGAAATGTGGTATTTATACATGATGTAGTTGTACTCAACCATAAAGAAGAATGAAATGGCATTTTCTTGTAAGTGGATGGAGCTGGAGAACATCATGCTATGTGAAATAAGCCGGACCCAGAAAATAAAGTGTCAAATGTTTTCTTTCATATGTGGAAGCTACACAAAAATAAGGGCAAAAAGAGCGCGTGGGTGGGAACCAGTGGAATAGAGGAAGGGGATTGAATCTGAGGGAGGATGTTTAGGAAAAGGGAGGAATTGTGGAATGAAACTGACCAAAGTGAATTTCACCTTTATGTATATCTCTAATGCACTAATTTTAAAAAAAAACTATAAATAAATAGAAAAAAGACCAGTAGAATAGAGGAAGGGGAAGAGAGGGTGGAGGAAGGGAGGGAAAGGGGAAGTACTGGGAAATGAATTGGAGAAAACTATATCCCATGTTTGTATTATTATGTCAAAATGAATGCCAATATTATGTATATCCATAATGCACTAATAAAAATGTATGAGATACCTGGGAAATGCACTATCGTTTGTGTGTATATTTAAAAAATGATTTTAATTTATAATGACTTTATTTTTATGAGAGAAATGTTTCCAAAGACTTCTCATGTAAATTGGCATTAAACTCTAATTACGCCTTTTAACATGATTTTAAGGTCATTACTTAATGGTGACATCCTCAAAATTAATAAAATACAAACCAAACACGACATGCAAATCAATTATCATCCAATAATAACTTTTTTTTTCAAAATGCAGAATACCTTTTACTTGTCAATATTAAAGCAAATTAAACTGCTTGTTTTATTTTTTACCTTTACAATAGTAAACAGGTAGACTCTTCCTTCCTCTTTCTTAAGGTCATTCATGTACATTGGTGCCCCGACCAAGAGCACATCTGTAATGGTGTCTTTATCCACGTCAACTGAACACAGCACACTACCAAAATAGGAGCCAATCTGGAGTAATAAAGCATATTAATCTTAGGATTTCTAGGGTTCTTATACATTGAATATCACATTGAACTTTAATTAACTTATTTAAAATGCACAGAAATGGAGTTTTACAACCTGAAAGATGCTAGAATATAAAGATGGAGAGCAGATTCCTTTCCATCAGGTTAAATCACCATCTAGCTACTTGATTCTTAAACCTCAGGGTGCACAAGAATCGCTAAGGAAGTGTCTTTAAGACTTATTACTAAGCCTTCTGATGAAAAGTCTGGAATGCGATCCAAAAAAAAATTTTTTAAATAAGCGTCTCTGGTATTTCTAATGATGTTGAACCAAAGGCCACATTTATAAGAGAAATCCTTAGTAACTATGTAAAGGGTGCTGTAGAGAAAGGTAGGAGTAGAAACAAGGGGAATAAACAATTGTACTTCCATAAAAAATATATCGTAATACGGGCAAGCCCCAAACGTTGAGTGATTGGAGTGTATGGATGTCAGGAAGGCTTAAAAGGATAAAGCATTATTTGAATTCCATCTTAAGGACTTTCCAGGTGGAGAGAAATGGGGAAGCATGAATGACATAAATATCCATGGTTGGTCTGGAACAGCTGAGTAGCTGCCAGATTGACTAGTATAGGAGGGCTAGGTGGAGATACAGTGAAAAAATAGAGGCTGGGAATTTGGATATTTATCCCACCCAGCCATATTCATTGTATGCCTAAGCGAACACCTCTTTAAGGATTAGAAATAAATAAAAACAGATTGCTTCCATAACATTTTCTTTAAAATATCCAACACCGTTCTTTTAAAAATACTAAAGAGGATGAAAAAGTGTATGATTATAGCTAGTTTGTGGCCAAGGAAGTCAAGAACTCAGGTATTCTTACTCTTTTGTGTGTGTGTGTGTGTGTGTGTGTGTGTGTCTGTGTGTGTTACTAGGGATTGAACTCAGGGGTGTTTAACCACTGAACCACTTCCCCCAGCATTTTTTATATTTTTATTTAGAGACAGGGTCTTGCTGAGTTGCTTAGGGCTTCACTAAATTTGTTGAGGCTGGCTTTGGACTCACAATTCTCAGGCCTCAGCCTCCTGAGCTGCCAGGATTACATGCGTGAGCCATCGTGCCTAGCAGGTCTTCTGATTCTTAGAAAATCCACAGCAACAGCAAAATCAGAATTACTTCCAGAGAACAGAAGTCTGTGGTTAGTTTTTCTGACTCAAGGAAGGAAACTACTTTCTGTTGTTTGCTGGGGATCAGGGATGTACATTTCACATATGGCCAAGACCAGAGGGCAGAACTGAAACAGGAGCCCATAAACTGGCCTTTGCTCCTGCATGACACCAGGATTCCCCATAGGGTTCAATAACCAAATGACCACCCACCAACAGAAAATGGAAGGGAGTTGTTTGACCTTTTAGGAACATGAAGGCCAACAGGTCACCTCGACAGGCTCAGGTGCCGTTCAGTTCCTATTATAACCTACTGTTCCTGTGTTACCATTTCTCCTCCAGACTCTTGGCTCCTCATGTGGCTTTGTTCACAAGACATAGTGCCTGCCACCATGACTAAACAACAGCCACCTAGTGTTCATGTGGGCAGTCAGAAATATGGACTGGGATATTACTAAACATCACAAGCTTTGAGGCCAGATAAGATTGAGTTGTGAGAGTAACTTAATACCATTAAAATTATGTTTTCTTAAAAATACAGCTAAACTCTCAGTCACATGTCAAAGTGGAGAGCAGATGTTCTAGTATTACTGTGAAAATGTAAGGAATGTACAAAATTAAGATCACAGAGCCAAATGCAGAGGAGGTACTCAATAAATGTTAGCTCTCATTTCTACTGCCCAATTCCCTAAGTACCCAGTTCATAAAATTATTTTCACCTGATAAACAATGATATTTACCTGGTCCCCTCTGTGAGCCTGGATAATTGTGACATTGCCATTCTCATTAACAGTGTACAGCACTATCTGGCCCGTGTAATTTGCTCTAGGAGCACCAGCAACAAAGTGGACATTTTTTTCAGTAGAAATTGCAGCCACAGAATAACCTAGGAGAGAAGGAAACACAGGGTGTCAATGAATATCTCAGCCAGATAATGCTTGCCCAGTTAGGAGAGATGATCAGAGATCCTTTACATTAGATATAGAGCACAGTTCCCCATGCTCCTGGGTATGTCACCAAGGACACATCTTTCTATTTCTAAGATGAACTGCTCTTGCCCTTCCACTTTTCACACTATCCAGCATAGATGGGTCTCTCTCCATCTACAAATCTGGCTCTAGATTCCAGGTTGTCCTCATCAGCAACCTATGAACGTGGCACTCAACAAATATGCCTTGAATGAATGAGCGAATGGAGTTAAAAAGTAATGTCACACAGAGGAAAGGCCACAGGCCACAGGAGTTAGATAGTTCTAGATACAAACTGTGGATTTGACACTAGGTTGTTTAGGATCTCTAAGGATCCTAGAGGTAAAATGGCTCTCATGTGGTTTTAGAAGGATTTAAATGTTTATATAGATAGAATAGCCATCCCAGGAACTGCCCCATAGTAGGTCCTCTAAGTCAGTGGTTGTTTATCATAGGAACAAAAAACGGAAAACTCTAAAACAGCGTAAAACTACCACTTAGTGTATTGGCTTTTAGAAACTATTTCTATTTTATTTTATTTAGTTAGTTTTGATATTGAGGATTGAACTTGGAGGCATTTAACCATGGAGCCACATCCCCAGCCCTTTTTTGTATTTTATTAGAGACAGGGTCTTGCTAAGTTGCTTAGGGCCTCTATAAGTTGCTGAGGCTGGCTTTGAACTGGTGATCCTTCTGCTTCAGCCTCCCAAGCCCCTGTGTGCACCACTGCACCCGACCACTATTTCTATTTTAGAGAGACGTGATCATATTCCAGGAATTACAATGATTAAACAGTCATAGGGATTGGAGTGCAAAGCACATGTTTTATTAAGCAGTTGTGAATTAAAGCCGGATTGGCAAAGAGGCAACATATGGATGAACAACAAATATGATGGCATTTCAGAGGTTTTGCTGAACTGACTGACCTTAACATTCAACAAGAAGCTAGTTTTAAAGGAAAGCAACTTCAGTCTGCTGAGCCAAATGCTTCTATACCTTACCTAAATAGGAACTGTGGTTTCTATCCTGCAGAATCTGGTCAAAGGCTTGTTTAGGAAAGATTGAATATCCATGAGATGTCCCCCGGACAATAGTCCCACTCCAGTCAAAAGCTCCAACTGCTCCTAGCATCAGAATATCCTAAAGTAATTGAAAATTGAAGATCATTAAACAAATCACATATAATGCATGAGAAGGCAGGGTAGGGCAAATATTGAAATAAGCTATTTATATTTAAGAAAAATAAATGCAATGAAAGGAAATATATTAATGTATCTTGATATATCTCAAAATTGTTTTCATAAATTTGCACTGGAGAACAAATCGTATCATGGTTTATCTTATTTTGGGCCCTACTTTTGACATGTTACATAGATAAATTTTTGTAATAAGCTCTAGTATGAAGCAGGTACCTAGTCATCTTAAAATATCCACTCAAAACACACACATTTGCAAATGTTGAGTCCTTATGAACCTATAAAAAGGCATTATAGTAGAATGTCAGTCCCACATATTCATAGGAAAAGCTCACAACTGGAAATGAGACATGCTTGAGTCACAGAGTGCTGACCTGAGAGGAGGAAGAGCATGCTCCTGCTCTCTCAGGCATGTCCTGGGGTCCCTTTTCTGACCTATTACTTTTAACTTTTTCCTCTCTCTTTTTGATTCATTCTCAAATCCCCATATCCCATCTGTGGGATGACAGTACAGCTACAAAAGGCATCTGTAGCTGTGACAGTTGATCTATTGGAAGGAAAATTAACATGGGCCAGGCCTGGGGAAGGGTAGAGGGGGACAGGCTACTGTGGATTGGATCAAGCTCAATTTGAATATCAAAAGCTATAAATCATCACTGAAGGCAGGTTTCGTCAACACGGGAAACTTTATATTTAAGTATTTGGCCTTAGATCTTAGAAAACATCAAAGGTATGATTCCGGATCATAAAATAGTAGCCAGGGAAACAATGTGTGCCATTTTGAGTATTAGAGAGTGTGAAATTGCTGCGCCCCTCCCCTGACTCAGGCAATGGCAAGGCCCTACTGAGGTGGATGGTGCAAGGTGTCCATCCTCTGGAGGAGCGCAGTATGTTTCTGGGAATGGGCTGATTTGTTTTTGTATTCCTTTAATAAGTATAGTTTTGATTTCTCATATGACCATTAAGTATAAAGGAAAAATCATGACTTTCCCAATTAATGCAACTACTTCTAAAGCATAGATCTGTTTGCTCTAAATGGAATGATTCAGCTGTGGAGTGTAAATTGTTAATGTCTAAAGAAAAACTCCCTGTATTCCTGTCAAGGAAGTTTTTGAGAAATTAAATTAAAATCTAGAGAAGAAAAATTAATGTTAAGAAGATAGATTAGTGCTTAGTACTGGGCAACTTGTTCTTGTTCCTGTGCACAATGGTTTGTGCTCTTACTTTTGTTTGATTAAAAGTAATAACAAGTCAACCCCTTGCCGTAACCATGGCACCGGTTCCAGTCAGTAAGTCAAGAAAAAATAGTCAAGGTATAGGCCAATAGTTTGGGACATTTGTAACTATTATTAAAAGGTAACTAAGCAGAAACAGCTCAAAACAAAACGCAAACTGAAAGTACAAATGCTTGTTTATGCATAAGCCAAGATACATTCTTCTATTCTAATTGTAGCTACGTAATATTTTGTTTTGTTTGAATAATGATTCCTGTTTTGTAACCACAAAGTACTGTAAGCCTGCCAAAATGAAAAGTATATATGATCAACTTCACAAGTAAAGATTGGGATCAACACCTTCACTTTGGTGTCTGTGTTGTTTCTCCACCCCCTCTTTCGCCGACTCCTCACCATCCGTTCGTCTCCTGAGACCCCCTGTTGGAGCTGGTCTCCGACATGAAATGATGTGGATGAATGTAGTATTAGGTACTCTGATCAAGACTCTGATCAGCATGGACGGGTTTACAGAATTGTTATAAAATTCTCTGTGTATAGATTCATTTGTATTTATTTCTATGGGAAAGATTAATAACTTTCAGCATCTCTAAGATTTGGTGCCCCAGAAACAGTCCACACTTTCTATTCTAGACATACAAGGAGCTGTTCTTGGTCCTTGGTCTGCCCCTGAGTTCACACTGTATCCTGACTATTTCTCAGGGCGTCACATATTTTTTCCCCTTTCACTACCTACTCATATTCTAGATAGAATTAGAGTAGAGGCTTGAAGGCAGATGCTTCTGAGAAAGAAGAGTAGGCTTCTCTGAGCTAAGAAAACACTAGTGTATTCCAATCTTCTCTCACATCTTTCCTAAACTCTTTCAACTATTTTCTGTCTCTGCTTTTAGAGAAAAATACTATTGCAACTTGGAATTTGTTAATTGGTTGAAAGGACATTCCTGTAGGGATAATATCTCACATTAATATGGGGCTTGAGCTCTGGAGCAGTGAAAGTCTTCTTTGCATATTATCTCTCTTCCTCCCCATAGAAAATCCCTTTGAAATAGGGAAGGGGAGACATTGTTAATCTTCATTTTTGAGGTGATAAAGTAGCAACACAAAGAAGCTAAGGAGCATGGCTAGGAACCAGAACTATCGGTCTCTAGATGGTTGTTTTTTCTACTTCATGAATAAGGTATTGAGTCTGAAAGCATAGGGGTGAATGGCAGTATGGCTTGACGTCATCTATATACACACGTTTTGAGGAGAGTAATCCGCGCTGAATCCTACTTGTGACATTTCCAGCTGGATGTTGTCTCCTCCTTGAAGAGTACCTGGGAAATAATCAGTTTCAAAATTGTATTATTGTCAGCTAGTAATGAAAAAAGTTTTAAAAAACTGACTTCAGGGACTGGGGTTGTGGCTCAGAGGTAGAACATTTGCCTAGCATGTGTGAGGAACTGGGTTCAATTCCCTTTAAACCAAGTTTTCAAACATAGGTGTGCATGCATCTCTCTTTCTCTCTCCTCTTCTCTCTCTCTCTCTCTCTCTCTCTCTCTCTCTCTCTCTCTCT